GTTTACCTCACGCAAGTCCCCTACAAGATAATCTGAGGTAGTCTGTGGGGATTTGTGGGATTGGTGTTCTGTGCGTTGGGCGCGCACTCTAATTTTTAAGTGAGAGGACGGGCCCAGCGGCGCCAGGGGGAAAAGAGACATTGCACTAGCCCCACAAGGCAACTGTGCTTGAGCCACTAAACCTGGATCCTTTGCCTGTCAGCTCCTCTACTATTTCATCCACCCTTCCCTTTTACAACGACTGCAATCTTGGCATTTAATAAATAATAATGTAGACATCCAATGAAGCTGAATGTTTGGAGATTCAGGTTACCCACCGTGGAAGAATGGCAGATGAAGGTGATCGACTACATGGGCCTAGCAGAGATGACGAGCAGAATCCGAAACCAGGGAAGAGAAGCAGCGGAAGAAGAATGGGAAAAATTTAAGGACTATTTAAAGAAATACTGCAAAATTAATGAAGGATAAAATGATGTTGGATTAGTGAGTAAATGGTTGCTAGCGGTAATGGTTAAGACAAAGAGAATATATAAGAGTAAATTAAATTAAAATAGGAGAAGATTTGCTGACTATTTGGTTGGAAATGGGAATACAGAAAGGGGAAGCATGAGGAAGTCGGGGAAGTAAGGTACAAGAAAATGAGATATGAAATTATACATGTTATTTTTCTTTTGTTTGTTGTGATTGTTTTGTTGTGTTTTGCTTTTGTTGTTATAAAAATTCTTAATAAAAATTTATTTTAAAAAAAATGAATGTTGGGAGATTCAGGACAGATAAAGTAAAGTATGTCACATGGCACATAGTCAAAACAAAAAAAATTCCTTCCAGTAGCACCTTAAAGACCAGCTAAGTTAGTTCTTGGTATGAGCTTTCGTGTGCATGCACACTTCTTCAGATACACTGAAACAGAAGTTGCCAGATCCTTCTATATAGTGAGAAGGTGGGGAGGGGTATTACTCAGAAGGGTGGTGGGAATGGGTGATTGGCAGATAGCTGTGATAAGCCTGTTGACGACTCTTAACGACTGCAATAGGTCTTACAGGAAAAAGCAAGGGGTGAGAAGGTGAAAAATGGCTTTGTCATGTATAATGAGATAAGAATCCAATGTCTTTGTTCAGACCAGGTTTCTCCATAGTTTTAAGTTTGGTAATGAGTTGCAACTCAGCAGCTTCTCTTTCTAGTCTATTTCTGAAATTCCTTTGTAGTAAAACAGCTACTTTGAGATCTTGTATAGAATGTCCTGGGAGATAGAAGTGTTCTCCTACTGGTTTCTCTGTCTTGTGATTCTTGATGTCAGATTTATGTCCGTTTATTCTTTGGCGTAAAGTTTGGCCTGTTTGTCCAATATAGTTTGGCACATAGTTAAGGTAAGGGCAGGGATGGCCACTAACAGTGGCTTTGAAAGAAGACTGGACAGATTGTGGAGGAGAAGCCTATCAGGGGCCCCAGTTGGAGGCAGAGATGCTTCTGAATGCCAGTTGCTGGAGCCCCAGGAGAGGAGAGGCCTCTTGGGCTCAGTCCTGCTACTGGGCTTCCCACGGAGGCATCTGCTTGGCCACTGTGAGGCTAGTGGACGAGAGGGACTCCTGGCCTGGCCCTGCAGGCTCTTGCCATGCTCTTACACTAGTAATAATATTCTGTGTCCAGAAGCGCATTGCATCTGAGTCCTGAAACTAAACATCTAAGTTCTGCACTGGCTGCCTGTATCTTACTGAACCAAGTTCAATGTGTAGCTGCCAGTGGACAAAGCCCCAAACTGCTCACCTGAAGGGTTGTCTCATTCCTTAAACCCAGATCAGCTGCAATAATCTGGAGGAGCCCTCCTGGCTTCCCCATGGTCCTATTCATTTAGGGCTGATCTACACTCCCTCTGGTCTCACTGCTTTCTCTAGAGGGAAACTGCTCTTCGACGCCCTATTGGAGCAAATGGCAATTCGGGTTTTCTCCAGATTGACGTTTGCTCTGATTTAGCACAGAGGAGCGAGTTTTCCCTACAAAAGGAGTGGGGCAAGGGGGAAACCGCTCAGACTTGTGCTTTTTCTAGGAATGGGGAAAGCAGAAGCCCTTGGTGTCTACACAAACTAAGATTTTTAGCATAGTACTGGCACCAGTATTTTGAAATGCTGCTCCAGCTGAATTCAAACAATTCTGATACTTCATTACCTGTTCAGAATGATTTTGTTTTGCCAATAATTTTTAGATAAATAAAATTCAGTGCTGGTCTTTTGCTCTGTCATTTGTGATATTGTAATTTTATGATGTTTTAATTATTCTATTGGCTTTTATATAAGTTGGCCATCTATAGTCTTATTAAGGAATTGAATAAATGGAAATGTGGCTTTCTGGGATGAACCACCGGTGAAAATTGGTGAGCAAGCCCCCGAGTCGAATGGGCATGGGGGGGGTGCACTACCTGATTCTCGGTCAAATGGGGCATCTGCTCTGGGACTGATCATCTGCCAGTCATGACAAATTCTGGAGCTTGTTAAGTGAAGACCCAGGTGCCCATCCACTGCTGGCCTCTCATGGTCTGATAGCGCACCTGCCTTTCCGCCCTGGGGAATATCACACTTGTGGTCAAGGTCCAACCTCACATGTCCTGTATGAGATAAAAGAGGGATGCGTGTGGTCAGACCTAGCCCACAAGCCTTGTATTCTCACACAAAACTGAGCACGGCCTCTTAACCTACCATCTGATCACCATCACCATCTGCACCAACCTCGATTCCATCACCACCATTCTCAGAGGACCTGCATCTGCATCTTTCATCTGTCATGTGCCACTTTAGATGCCCAGCAGCAAAGAGAAAGAGACCTCGGATTGCCCTGGGATGCCAATGTGGTACCTAGCTGAAAAGGAAAGAAGAATCCACATGGTTTGGGGTGGGTGGGGGGAGCCTGTGTCCGCTTGCAGGGAGTTTGGGGCTTCAAGGCAAAGATGTTATTTACCTGTGTGGGTTTAGGTACCAGTAGGATGGCCATCAGTCTTGGGCCACACATAGTGCATACATTTAAAGCACTATGATACCCATTTAAAAAGCCGTGGTCCCCCCCCCCCACCCAGATAATAATTCTGGGAACTCTGGTTTGAAGCTGAGAATTGTTTGGAAACTCTAATTCCCCTTACAGAGCTACGATTCCCAAAGTTCCCTGGGAAAAGAGATTGATTGTTAAACCACTCTGAGAACTGTATCCCTACCTGTAGGGGCATAAGGGCTTCCTATCAACTCTCCCTGTGGTCCCCAGAATTCGGGGGGGGGGCACGGCTGCTTAAACCAGTACAATACTGCTTTACAATGTCTGGAGCGGATGTGGTGTTACTTTGGGCTTATCCTCCAGATGACCTATTGACGGAGCAGGTACACTGATTCGCTTGCACAAAGCTTATGCAGAGCTTAGACTTTATTGAGCATTCATTCTGATTTGCTTGCAGGGGGGTTATACAGCCATGAACTTTCCTCCCAAATTCATGCTGATTTGTTTCCAGGGTGTTTCCACATCATTCATTCATCCCACACTTTCCCTCTTAACCATTCATTCATCCCAACAGGTTGTTGCTGTTGCTGTTAAATGGTTTTGTTGTGCCAGCGTGGCAGACTAGCTTTCATCCACTTCAGTTGCACAGACCTAAAGTACACCCTTGGATTCCTCCTGCGAAATACTGACGGTCTAGAGGTGATGCCCCCCCAACCTGTGCATAGGAGTTTCAAATGTCTCCCCTTTCACCTGGCCGCTTTTCCAGGGTCTCTCTGTTGTGCTTGGAAAGGTGGTGAGGGGACTCTGCTCACTTGCTCTGGTGGCCTCTTGCTCAGGGAGGCAGCAGGGGGGCTGGCAAGGTGGAGCCATGCTGGCTGGTTCTGCGCATGGACTCAGACTGATTCAGCCTTTGCCCAGCTCTGGTTGCCTCACCTCAGAAAGGATATTGTAGAGTGGGAAAAGGTTCTGGCAGGATCAGGCCAATGGCCCATCTAAGCCAGCATCCTGCAGGAAGCCCACAGGCAGGATTCGAGCACAAGAGCCCTCTCCCCTCCTGTCAACTGGGATTCAGAAGCATGGCTGCCTCCAGGTGTGGAAGCAGAGTACAGCCATCCTGGCTAGGAGCCATTGAGAGCCTTGTCCTCCATGAAGTTGTCCTAGTTGGTGCCATTGCTTCCTCCTGTGGCAGTTGAACTATGCGCTGTTATTCTCAGTGCCAGGATATCCTTAGAAACTCTACCTTCACAATTGGTAGAGTTAAACAAATAAATTGAGTGTGTGCGTGCATATGCAAAATATGGCCAGAAGAAACTTGGAGACTTTATTGGCGCCATTGTTGGGACCCAGTTGGAAGACGAATCAATGACCTGTCCTGCTAAAAGCTTAGTCCAGAACCATTACCGTGGAATTTCTTCTACCTGTAGTTAGTAGGATTAACAGCTGTGACTAGTAGCAAACTTGAATTGACAAGATTAAATGATATAATGACAGCAGCAGCAGCAACAACAACAATGTGCTGTTTGTCATGAACAAATGACAAACCAAAATTATTCTTTTAAGCTGAAAATGGTTGCCTTTTCTGTCTTCTTATACCTCAGCATTACTAGGTGTAATTCCTATTCCTTGATGTTTTCAACTTTATATTTTAGATTGATCCTGCATAATTATATATGTCAACCATATGTCAGGAGTGCTCTGATGGTGTTTCCTGCTTGGCAGGGGGTTGGACTCGATGGCCCTTGTGGTCTATTCCAACTCTATGATTCTATGATTCTATGATATATGCATGTGGCAGAAATATAATAAAGAGATCACACACACCAGAAATGTTGCAGGACACCTGCAGTGCTCCCCTTGATGAAGCATGTGGTGCGTGTGGAACAGTTGCCCCTCTCCCCAACACTCTGGGTTGAACCACTGAACCCCTGCCCTGGCTGAATCTGAACTGGTTGCAAGGCAGGGCCAGTGGAGAGCGAGCAAGCTCACTTCCGGCCCTGCTCTCATGGAGGCTCTCCTCTTTCCAGAATGGGTTGAATGCTTTGCACCTGGCCTCCAAGGAGGGACATGTGAAGATGGTGGCTGAGTTGCTGCACAAGGAAATAATTTTGGAAACCACCACCAAGGTAAGCCCCCCCCTCCCCAGGTTGGGGTGGGAATGGCTCTTTTGAAACTGAGGTTGGAGACAGACAAAGGTGGCCTGCAACTAACAAGAAGAGCTCTCATGGTTGCTGAGACCAGCAAATGAGCCTCTCCTGGGCTAGAATCCCTTATATATATCCTTTATAGAGACCAAACAGAAATCTCCCCACAAAGTTGCTCTTTGCTGCCCCGGGGGAAAGGATTTCTGCTGGAAATACAACAGAGAGAAAGGGTTAAACATTGCGCAGTTCCAATCCTGCTTTTTTTTTTTTAAGTGCATGTTGATTGCTTTCTAATAATTAACACCATGTCTTGTTTGATTCAAAGTAAATCCCACCAGCCTGAAGTCTACCAATGAGCTTGATTTAGACTGCAGGACCCTAGCAATTGTGGACACTTCACTTATGATCATTAGCAGCCCCTAACTGTGTGGTTAATTGGGGTGGGTTAAAGAGTGGCTATCTGCCAGCTCAGCTGACTCTGTTGTCACATATTCATAGAATTGAACAATGGAGGTGGAGACACTTATTCAGAAGAAGAAAAGGCTAAGGACTAAACCCTACACAAATCTGGAGTGGTCCCTAAGAGGGTTAGATGGCGTCTTGTACACCTCCTTCTGGCAACTCCTGCAGCCAAGCTGGTGTCAAAGGAAATGCTCTGCTTTCCTTTGGACCACATCAGCAGGCCTGGGCAGCCCAGGTTTGCTCCCTGGGGAGGTCATTTTGGTGCTACTAGCACAGCGGTTTGACTTCACCCCCAGAGGCATACTCCATTGTATCTCGAGACAGATGGATGTCAACAAGAACAAAATACGCTAGTGATACGCTACCCAACTTGGGTGTGCGTGTGCTTTTCTGCTGTTTTCTCAATGTATAGATCCATAGGGGTTTGTTTGTTTGTTTGTTTGTTTGTTTGTTTTTAAAGGTGTTTTTTTCTAGACTGCTTGCCATTTGTACCCTGCTTGACCCTTTTCTTCCATCTGGCTTTTTCAGAAAGGGAACACGGCCTTGCACATCGCTGCCTTGGCAGGACAAGAGGACGTGGTGAGGGAGCTGGTGAACTTTGGGGCAAATGTCAATGCACAGTCCCAGGTGAGTTGCCTGCCTCTCCCTCTCCCTGCAGTGGCCTCGCTTGGGCAAGGAGCTGGGAGGCTCTGGAGCTTCAGGGCTTTGAAGGCTCTGCGGGAAAAGACCAGGAGTGGGCCAGGCCCCTTAACAAGCAGGGGGCAGGGAGTATTGGGCGCACAAGGAAACCAATTCTACATGATCCAGCAGTCCTTTGCCAGACTTGGCAAGCCAGCCAAGCTGTGTGCCTTATTATTGTTTTTAAATAGTAGTAGTAGTAGTAATACTAGAACAGGGCTAGGGAACCTTTGTCAGACTAAGAGCCACATTGCCTTCTGGATAAGCATTCAGGGGCCACAAGCAAATGGTGGTGGGGGGGGGGAAAGCCCAGGCAAAAGTAAGCAGAGTAGCAAATGTCGATGTGCAGTACTCTGGTTCCTACACCTGCCGGCATCCGTCCCTCTCTGTCCTCCTTCCAAGTGAGAGAGAAGCGCTCCGGGAGGGTGTGAAGCCACGGCTGGACTGTCTGCCACTGTCCAAACAGATGAGTCCCATCTGTTGCTCTGCCTGTTCTGCCCACTTTCCCCTCCCTGATCCTACCTGCCACCATTATGTGGAGAGACTGTGGCCCCGGGTCTATTTCAAACCAATCACCAATGGTGTTAGTTGGCTGATTAATCTGCCCACTTCAAGCCTGCAGCATTGTAAATATTGCTTTGCTTGAGTCTGGCTGGGCTGGGTGAAGCTTGCAGATTCAAAGCCATCCAAGGTCTCTTTCTCGCGTCCCTCTGTGTGCATCACATAGATGCTTCTGAGCCGCTTCAGTCCCCGGCTATCTCCCTGCCAGCGTCACTCTCTTTCTGCCAGGCAGCCAACCATCCTCATGTCACCTGCTCCGGCAGAGCTGCGGGGGGGGGGGCAGTGTGGGTCGTCATGTCTCTGTGCCTGTTTGGATGGAATAGGGACCATCATCTGGCGCAGGAGCCCCCTGCTGGCCCTGGGGAGGCACTGCCCCTCTGTGGCAGTCTGCTGTGTCTTTGAGTTACATAAGCAGGTATCTGAAGGTCAAACAAATGCCAGGGAGTTGGAGAGAAATTGGGCAGGGAAGCACTGAGGCAAGGTGGGGGGTGGAATGCAGAATGACAGGCTTAGGGGGCCTAGAGGGCAAGCTCTCTATTTTCAGGACTCACTGCTGTCGGTCACTCTGGCTGAGATCAGCAAGCAGACCCCTCCCCCTCCCCCAAATCCTTCTGATCCTGTTTGCAATTTGTACTTTTGAGTCATTTTCCCAAAGCAAGGAGACTGAGTGTGCTTGCCTTTGGTTGCATAAACATGAAGCCATGCTCATTTTGTGAGCGCTTTAGAGCTAATGCTCAGCCTCTCCGCTTATGCTGGCGATGCTTTTGCTAAGCAGGTGAGTAAACAGCTGGTAATTCCAACCATTTGGTTTTAATATGCACAGACCGAGATTTGCATTAGGCTAGCAGTTTATTTGTTTCCTTTCTAGATTATTCTTTGCTAAGCAGGATCTTGAGTAGAAACTGAAATGAATAAAAAATGCAGAACTGTTGTTTAAAATTTCATCGTTGATAACCTTCCTTCCAAATCCTTCCTTCCTTCCTCCCTCCCTCCCTCCTTCCTTCCTTCCCTCCCTCCCTCATCCTAAATCCTACTCCAGCCCCACACCGTCTCCTTTTCTGTTATTTTATGGGTGGTCCCAAGGCATTTTGGTGCCTACAGTGGAGAATCCAAATGATGCCCCTAACCCAATCCACCTCCCCATACCAGTTAGCCCAGGGCACACACTGGGAAGGTTCCTTGCGTTGGTTTATTTGAAAAGAGATCAGTTGTATTGCTCTCTTCTCTTTGGGGTCCTTGCCTTCCAAGGACAGCTTTCCCACTGTCTCACCATCCAGAGTGACGGTGGCGGTTTTCCAGACATAGAAATGAAACTTCCGAAAGCAGAAGCAAGGGCAGGTTCCCCTTGCCCCTACTTTTTGTCCCAGTTTGCAGCCTTCTCCCTGTAAAGTTCAGGCTGATAAGCAACCCTATTTCTCTCTGCATAGCACCGCTCTGGTTTCCATTGGTCATCACACCATGTGACAAAGAGCTGGGACTCAGAAACAGGCTTTTTGCTGTTATGTTATGCGACCATTGATTCTATTGAACTTTGGAGTATTTCCCTTTGCCCCATAAGCCAATCCATTTCACCCCTTGTGCCTCCCTGCCGTTCTGTGATCAGCAGCGATTGGTGGGGGTTGTTTTGTGCAGCTGGCAAGGCAGGTTCTGATTCTGTGTTTGCAGAAAGGCTTTACGCCTCTGTACATGGCAGCGCAGGAGAATCACCTGGAAGTGGTCAAGTTCCTGCTGGAGAATGGCGCCAACCAAAACGTTGCCACGGAAGTGAGTAGCTCCCCCTTTGTCCGGTGTTCCCACTCCATGCTCCGCCCTTGTGCTTCTTTGGGATGACATGGACCCCTTGGCTCACTATGTGTCTCTTCCTCCCTCCCTGATCCACGGCAGGATGGATTCACACCTCTGGCTGTGGCTCTGCAGCAGGGTCACGAAAATGTGGTGGCTCACCTGATTAACTACGGGACCAAGGGCAAAGTGCGTCTGCCAGCACTGCACATAGCTGCACGCAATGATGACACTCGGACGGCGGCTGTGCTCCTGCAGAACGACCCCAATGCGGACGTCCTGTCCAAGGTAGGCAGGGAGTTCCAGTAAGGGCCAAGGGCTGCCTTTGAGGGGCTGCCTTAGATTGAGCAAGGCTTAGTTTCCAGGTGCAATCCCTCCTAAGGTAGTTTATGGGGCTAGCCACCCAAGACCGGCATCTTGCCTAAAGAAAAGGGCTGGCAGAAGAGCCAGCTTTGAAGTACTTCCTGCGTTTTGCAGATAGGTCATGGCATTATATTCACCTGGAGTCTCCCCACCCTCTTCTCTCCCACAGACTGGTTTTACCCCACTGCACATTGCTGCACACTACGAGAACCTCAACGTGGCCCAGTTGCTACTGAACCGAGGCGCAAGCGTCAATTTCACTCCCCAGGTGGGTGTCCAGAGTCCTCTGCCGGCTCCTGCAGGAGGCCCCTTGACATGGCCCCAGTGCTTACAGAAGGGGAAGGGAAGGGCCACAGCTCAGCGCAGAGCACCTGCCTTGCAGGCAGAAGGCCCCAAGCTCAATCCCTGGCATCTCCAGGTAGGGCTGGAAGAGACACCTTTTTGACAGCCTGGAGAGCTGCTGCCAGCCAGTGTAGACAATACTGAGCTGACTGGATGAATGGACTGACTCTGCTTAAGGCAGCTTCCTACCTGCCACATCAGACTGTTCTAGGGGATGGCTTGCATGAATGAATGAATGAATGCTCCTTTGTACAAAAATGAAAAAAGAGGTTTTTTAAATAAAAAAACTAGCACATAGAAAGCCAACCTGCCTGCGAGGTTAGGCTAGAACCCTGACAGGCTCCTTTTCTATGTTCAGGGAATGCTTTTGTACCGAGGAACATTCCACTGTGCTCCTTCACCTGCACTACTTCAGAGACAGCAAAGAAGACCCCCTTTGAGAAAGAGGCCCACCCCCTCGCTTAGTGCATTTAAATGCCGTGTTTAGTCGCCTCTGGGCTCTTTCATCACAATTTCTCACCGGTCACTGAGAAGCAGGACAGGAGTGAGGAGAAAGGATTAGGGCTTGTTCTGGGTCTCGGACTTGGCTCGGAGGGCCCTTCAGCCACTCGTGGTCGGGGGCTTGTCAGGCCCTGGTGGATGCCCATCTGCAAGAGGCCCTGCCTCTGGGGCTGTAGCAGAGCTGGCTGTCAGTCCAGTGGGACAGGAGGGAAGGCCAGGAGAAACTCAAGTCCCATAAGCATTAGCTGAAGAGTCAGAAGAGCAAGACGCAGGTCTTTCCCCCAAGACAGCCTTGAGGCAGCCGTGGGAGATACAGTGAGATGAGTTGCTGGGGCTGAAGATCAATGGACGTGTGAGGGAGCCAGATTGCTTCTTGGGAGTGAGCTGACCAAGTGCTAAGTTAGCTTTGTGGTGTCCTTGAGGATCACAGCCAGCTTGTAAGGCTTGTGGCAGAATTGGAGCGCTGGTGGTGCGGGGGGGATCGGGCTGGAGCCTGGCTGCCGGCAAGCTTTGCTGAAGAGGCACTCGCGCCCAGGGGGGCTTTAGAGACCTGTGCAAAAGGGAGCCCTGCACTCCGGTGCCTCATCTGATTAGCCACGGACTGCTGCATGGTGGAACAACACAGAAAAGAGGTTGGGACCACAATCCCAGGGAGCATCTGTCTGGCCTTCTTCCAAGGCCACACCCTTTCCCCCAGGCCACACCCCCTTCAGCATCCCTGACTGACACCCTCCGTGAGTGTATTTGCCTGGCTAGAATGTGTCCTTGAGCTCCTTTGATGCCTCTTGGCTGCCTGGACGTGGGGGAAAGCGTGAGGATGTGAAGAAACCAGCCTGCTCTACAAAGGGGGCACTGATGTTGGTTGCTGCACCCAGCTTTGCCTCTGGTCCATAGCTGTCAACTTTTCCCTTTTCTTGCGACGAATCCTATTCGGAATAATAATAATAATAATAATAATAATAATAATAATAATAATAATTTTTTATTTATATCCCGCCCTCCCCAGCCGAAGCCGGGCTCAGGGCGGCTAACAACAATCAAGTAATCAAACAATCAAATAATCCAACATTCTAAAAACATTTCATTATAAAAATTAATTAAAATCAAATTAATGGCAACCGTTAAGCAAAATTCTGTGCAGGTTGCCAGAGGAGGGAGTCAGGCTGCACCCTGACCAAAGGCCTGGTGGAACAACTCTGTCTTGCAGGCCCTGCGGAAAGATGTCAGGTCCCGCAGGGCCCTAGTCTCTTGTGACAGAGCGTTCCACCGGCCGCAGCCGAGAAAGCCCTGGCTCTAGTTGAGGCCAGCCTAACCTCTCTGAGGCCTGGGACCTTCAGGATGTTTTTATTTGCAGACCGTAGGTTCCTCTGTGGGGCATACCAGGAGAGGCGGTCCCGTAGGTACGAGGGTCCTAGGCCATATAGGGCTTTAAAGGTTAAAACCAGCACCTTAAACCTGATCCTGTACTCCACCGGGAGCCAGTGCAGCTGGTATAGCACCGGATGAATGTGATCCCGCAGCAAGGACCCTGTAAGGAGTCTCGCCGCGGCATTCTGCACCCGCTGGAGTTTCTGGGTCAGTCTCAAGGGCAGCCCCACATAGAGCGAGTTACAATAATCCAGTCTGGAGGTGACCGTCGCGTGGATCACAGTGGCTAGGTCAGGGCGAGAGAGATAAGGGGCCAACTGCTTAGCTTGGCGGAGATGAAAAAATGCCGCCTTTGTTATAGCTGTAATCTGCGCCTCCATAGAGAGGGAGGTATCGAAGATTACACCCAAACTCTTAACGAACGGTGCTGGCACTAATTGCACCCCCACAAGAGATGGGAGTTGCCCCCTCAATCCCATATCATCCCGTCCCAGCCAGAGGACCTCTGTCTTTGAAGGATTTAACTTCAACTGGCTCCCATGTAACCATCCAGCCACAGCTTCCAAACATCTGGTCAGTGTGTCTGGGGCCGAGTCAGGATGGCCATCCATCAACAGATAGAGTTGGGTGTCATCGGCATACTGATGGCAACCCAGCCCAAAACTCCGGACAAGCTGGGCGAGGGGGCACATAAAGATGTTAAAAAGCATCGGGGAGAGTATCACACCCTGAGGCACTCCACACACCAAGGAGTGGCGCGATGAGAATTCCCCCCCAAGCGCCACCCTCTGTCCCCGACCAGAGAGAAACGAGCGCAGCCATTGAAGGACTGTGCCCTGGATCCCCACGTCGGCAAGGCGGTGGTCCAGGAGTTCGTGATCGACCATGTCGAAGGCTGCTGACAGGTCTAGAAGAATCAGCAGCCCCGACCCGCCTCGATCCAGCTGCCTGCGGAGATCATCTGTTAGGGCGACCAGAGCCATCTCGGTCCCATGACCAGCGCGGAAGCTGGACTGGAATGGATCCAGAGCCGATGTTTCATCCAGAAACCTACCAAGCTGTTCAGCAACCGCTCTCTCAATCACCTTATCCAGGAACGGAAGATTCGAAACCGGGCGGTAATTGGATAGATCTAAAGGATCTAATGATGTTTTCTTTAAGAGCGGGCACACCACTGCCTCCTTCAGTTCCCCTGGGAATGTCCCCGTGCCAAGGGACAAATTGATGATATCCCCCAGGGGGACCCGCACCTTGTCTGGACACGCTCTAATCAGCCAAGACAGGCACGGGTCGAGAGGGCAGGTGGTGGGCTTTCCAGCTCAGAGGAGTCTGTCCACATCAGCTGGGGATATCCGGTCAAAGTGGCCCAATACTGGACCCGAGCACAGTCAAGGGGCCTCCAGTTCCTTTATTGTATCCAAATTGGCAGGGAGATCATGGCGGAGCAACAGGACCTTCTCCGCAAAAAAGCTCGCAAATGCCTCACATCTGTGTGTCAGATTGTTATTTAAATTTGGCTGTCCTTCAAGGGACGTTAAAGACCTAATTATACTAAATAATTGCTAGCGGATGCAATGGAGGCCGAGAAGTAAGACTTCTTAGCGGCCTTCACTGCCATCTCATAGGTTTTCATAAAAACCCTATAAGATGTTCTTGAGGCTCCGTCACAGGCACCCCGCCATACTCACTCTAGCCGTCTGAGGTCCCACTTCATTTTCCGAAGCTCCTCGGTAAACCAGGGAGCCCGGTTTCTGCGGGGTTGCAGAGGGCGCTTAGGTGCGATCTCATTGATGGCTGCCAGGAGCTGGATATTCCAGCCCTCAACAAGCTCAGTCAATGAGTCGCCAGGGGGAGCAAGGTCCCGCAAGGCTTGACGGAATCTATCAGGGTCCATCAGCCTCTGCGGGCGAGCCCAAATTGGCTCACCACTTAAGCAGGGTGGGGGTGGAAAATCAATCCTGGCTTTCAGAGCGTAGTGATCAGACCATGGCACCTTCATCGAAGGAGACATGATCACATCTATACCGGCGCCAAAGATCAAATCCAGCATGTGGCCTGCTTGATGTGTGGGGCCCGAAACAAACTGGGAGAGCCCTAGTGTCACCATGGAAGACACCAGGTCCAGAGCCTGTGAGGAGGGAGTGGCATCAGCATGGATATTGAAGTCGCCCAATACCAATTAGGTTAGGGAATTTCCCTTTAAAAAAGGGAAACGTTGACAGCTATGCTCTGGTCCCGCCCACCACTGGTGTTTGGGAAGGTTGTCCAGAAAGGAGAGGGTCCCTCGGGTTGGAAATGGCTCCACATGTGCTTCTAGGAGAGGGCTGGCTTGCATGCAGAAGTTCCTGGGTCCAGTCCCTGACTGGGACTGACCAGCTGGAGATCTGGGAAAGCCATGGCCCATCAGAAGAGGCATTGCTAGGCAAGATGAGCCAGTGGTCTGGCTGGGTATGAGGCAGCTCCCTCTGCTCTTCTCTCCACAAACACAGAATGGCATCACCCCACTGCACATCGCCTCCCGCCGGGGCAACATCATCATGGTGCGCCTACTGCTGGACCGGGGAGCCCACATCGAGACCCGCACCAAGGTAGGGACATAAGATCAGGCCAATGGCCCCTCTCATCCAGTATCCTGTTCTCACAGGGGCCAACCAGAAGCCCCAAGGGAAACCTGCAAGCAGAATTTGATGCTCTCCTATGGTTGCTTCCCATAAGCCTTGCTGTCACCAACTTTGGAGGCAGAACATAGCCATCCTGCTAGCAGCCATCAAGAGCCCTCTCCCCCTCCATGACTTTGCCTCATTTTCTTTGAAAGCCATCCAAGTTGGTGGCCAACACTTCCTCCTGTAGGAAGGAGTTCCACAGTTTAACTATGTGCTGCATGGAAGAAAAGTCCTTTCTTTTGTCTGTTCTGAATCTTCCAACCAAGACAGGGCCTAGCATCAGGAGAGGCAGGAAGGAGAAAAGGAGGGCAGCCCTGTCAGGCCACCACCCCTTCAGCTATGTGGTCCTTGCACCCCCCCCAGCTGCCCCTTACTACCTCTCGCCCTCTGCGAGGTCCACAGGCCCTCCTTTTCTCTGCTGCCAACACAGATGCTATGTTTTTTCAAGAATTAAATTGTAGAGTTGGAGGGGACCTCGAGAGTCATCTAGTCCAACCCCCTGCAATGCAGGAATCCTTTGCCCAATGTGGGGCTCAAACCCACCACCCTGAGATTAAGAGTCTCATGATCCACTGGCTGAGCTATCCCTGAATATCTCCTGCCTCTAACGTAATCAAATGGCATGAGTGCACACTACAAGCATTTATTAAAGCAGAAAGGAGAAACAGGGGTGTTATGATCATTAAGCGGACAGAAGCCTATAGGTTCGGTTTTGTATTATCTTATTTGTTTCTTTGTCCTCTGTAAGACAATGGTGAACAACAAGGCAGTCCTTATTCTATCAAACTAACCCTGCCACCATCCACACTCTCCCTCCAGCAACCACACACTCCCAAACAGACCCTCTCATCAGTATTCAAACTGCAGCTTAGTGAGAACTCCAGGCATGAGAAGTGCAAGCGCAGAACATGGGAGGGAGGAAAATCCTCACTTTTCCCCCAACAGGAAGAAGCAGAAACTGATAGTGATAACTCAGAAAATGAGACTGAGTAAGTTTCATGCAGTATTCGCTGAGTTTTGTCTCGTCCCCCTTGTCCCCCCCCCCCATTTTCAGAGCCATTATAGGAATGAGAGCTTGATGTCTGCTTGGCCCAGTAGAGACAAGGGCCATTGGGTGGTCTTCAGCGCTCATCTTAATCAGAGTAGACCTGCTAAAATTAATAGATATGACTAATTTAGGTTCATTAATTCTAACGGGTGTACCCTAAGTAGGACTTAGTTGAATATGACCCATAATAGTTTTCAGAATACATAATAACTTTCTTTCTTTTTTACCATAATGTTGACGGTTTCATCTGCTTTTATTATTTTTCCCTGCTGCTCATAAATTGGCAAAATGAAAGACATGCAAGGTTCCTTGCAGCTCAGCATCTTATAGATCCATTTCTAATCAAAAATATAAAAAGGAATGACTAACTCAATACACTGTATTTTTAATATACCAGATAATTTAATGTCAAACTAAGTAATATATAATACATTTTATGTTCCTCAAGTAATAATGTGATTTTTGATCTGTAAAAGTGCTTTTAAAAGTATTGCATATTTTTCAATTTCCTCAAAAATTTCTGGGTGTTTGTCCAGGGGAGGGAATATCACCTTTTCTCCGAGTAACTCGAGGTGGTGCATGTGGTTCTTTCGCTGCTGATTTGCACCCCTGACTCTCATTCTATTTTAATATTTTGTTGGAAGCCGCCCAGAGTGACCCAGCCAGATGGGCGGTGTATAAATAATAATTATTATTATTATTATTATTGTTGTTGTTGTTGTTGTTATTAATTATTCCCCATTGTTGCAGGACGAGCTGACACCGCTGCACTGCGCCTCCAGGAATGGGCACGTGCGGATTGCGGAAATCCTGCTGGATCACGGTGCTCCCATCCAAGCAAAGACCAAGGTGATGGGCAGTGGGGGAATAGCCGTGGGGCAAGCAAAATCACGTTCCCCAGAGACAGAGGTGGTTTTCCCCTTTGCTAACACCCACCCTGGCATCGGACTGTGGCTCTTGTTTCCCAGCTACCGGGGCCACCTCCACACCACATATTTAAAGCACTCTTATGCCACTTTAACAGTCATGGTTTTCTCCAAGGAATCCTGGGAAATGTAGTTTCCTAAGGGTGCTGGGAAATGCATCTCTGTTTGTACCCTTTACAAACTGTTATTCTCAGGATTCTTGGGGGGGGGCATGACTGCTAAAGTGGCACAAGAGTGCTTTAAATCATAGAATCATGGAATCATAGAATTGTAGAAGGGATCCCCAAGGGTCGTCCAGTCCAACCCCCTGCAATGCAGGAATCACAGCTAAAGCATCCATGACAAGTGGCCACCCAACCTCTGCTTATAAACCTCCAGTGAAGCAGAGTTCACCACCTCTCATGGGAGTCTATTTCACAGTTGAACAGTTCTTAGCATCATAAAGTTATTCCTAATGTTTTGTCAGAATCTCCTTTGTGGTCATTTAAATCAGTTGGTTCAGGTCCTACCTTCCAGAGCAGCAGAAAACAAGCATGCAAGATCCTCTGTGTGACGGCCTTTCAGATATTTGAAGACAGCTGTCAGTCTTCTCTTCTCCAGGCTAAACACACCCACCTCCCTCAACCATTGCTCAGAAGGCTTGGTTTCCAGACCCTTGATGGTCTGGGTCTCCGTCCTCGGGTCACGCCAGGCTCTAACCTTGCATTTCCTTGCCACAGAACGGCCTGTCCCCCATCCACATGGCCTCCCAGGGAGACCACCTCGACTGTGTGCGACTTCTGCTGCAGTACAATGCTGACATCGACGACATCACGCTGGACCACCTGACGCCGCTGCACGTGGCCGCCCACTGTGGCCACCACCGAGTGGCCAAAGTCCTGCTGGAAAAGGGGGCAAAGCCCAATGCTCGGGCGCTGGTGAGTGGGCGGGCAAGTGGCAGGAGGGGGAGCCACGTGTCTCTCTTCCAGGGAGGCTGAAGGGCCTCTCCTTTTCTCTGTGCCTGCAGAATGGCTTCACCCCTCTGCACATCGCCTGCAAGAAGAACCACATCCGGGTGATGGAGCTCTTGCTGAAGACGGGAGCCTCCATTGATGCTGTCACCGAGGTACCTGGTGCCCCATGTGTGCAGCACGGGAAGCCGTGAGGCACACTGACGTGACCACAGCCACATATGCAATGGGGTTTTTCTGGACTTCTCTGTTAATTTGGATTAATTAGGACAAACATCATGGTGGATATCCAGAGGCGGCAAGGTTAGGCACCTGCCAGGACACCAAGCCCAGCAGAGGCCTAGACACGAAAAGTGAAGTGTAGACGCCACTGAGCCAAACTCTAAAAGTGCCACCATTTCCATTGGCGCAGAGCATCCAAGGAGAGGCGAAGTGGCCCTAGTGAATTCTGAATTTGCACGACCTTGCAAGTTAGGGGGACCACCAAGGGGACCCCCAAATACTAATTTGTAGGATTTGCCCCCAGGGAAAACACCATTTAGATGAAGACCACACAACATGTTCCCCACCAAGCCAAACACAGCCAATCTTTCATGATGAGCTGCAGAGCTCACCTCTGGTCTGAAGCCCAGCATCTCCAGGCACTGGCAGATCAAACGCCCTAACTTGTGGGTCGCTGTGTTTGGCTTAGGGGAGGGGCAGGCCTGGTTTCGATACAGTCATAGGACCTTTAGCATTTAATATAAGGAACTCTTGGAAATAACTTGATCTAGCCAAGAGAAAAACAGTCTGCAATAGTTCAAAGATACCTTTCAGCAATTCGTCACACCTTTTATTCATCACATTATGCCTGGAATGTATTGGGGTGTTTTCTTGGCTACCCACAGATTTTGGTTGATTGCTTTTTTGCCGCCTTAGGCAGAATTTTCAACCGACTCCCATCCATCCATGAGGTTCCAAGCCTATTGCTTCTGACTCAGTTTGGCTCATGACAAATAGAAATCTCTTGGCATTTGTGGCTATGTGGAGATTTTTTTGGGGAGGGGTTCTGACTGATTTTGGAATTTTCAGTTGATTAATCATCTGCCTTTTAACTGAAACAGTTGCATTTAAATGCCCCATTTAGCTTGGCTTGTAGAAGCCATTTCAGAGGTTTTCATGCCTTAAGTAAATGAGAATACTGGACGAACGTGCTGGGCCGGGCCAAGGGTCTGTCTAGCCCAAGATCCTGCTTCCAACAATGGGCAGCCAATAAATGCTTTTGGGAGGCCCACAGGCAGACCAGGGAAGGGGTGTGTGTCAGACACAGCCCTTTCGCTTTCTTTCCTTTTTTGCCTCTGGACATGGAGATTCTATTCAGTTGTCCTGGCTAATAGCCATGGATCAACCTCTGCTCAGTGAATCTGTAATGATGCATTTAGTCTTCCTACACTGGTGTCCGAACCAAGGCTGCCCAACTACTGGTGACTCATTCTAGCACAAGGTCCATGGAAAGGCAACGTTTTCTTTTTTGTTCTCCGATTGCAATAGCACAACCTGAGACTAGAGACAAGGGTGCTCTTGGCTGCTTGGGTCCTAAAGCTGCAGTCCTGTGCATGCTTGCTGGGAAGTAAGTTCCACTGAATACCATGGAACTTACTCCCCAGTAAGTGGGTATATGATTTATTTAGTTAGTTAACTTTTCTGTACTTTATATAAACCTTAAAGCAGTTTACTGAAAGAATAAAACAATGAAATTATCAATACAAACAACTATTTACAACATTTTTCAGAAATAATCAATGCTAAGCTAAAAACAGATTAAACACATGTCAACATTTTACATATCTGGGTAGGCTTGCTTAAAGAAAAATGTTTTTAGCTGGCACCGAAAAGAGTAGAGCAAAGGCGCCTCTCTGATGTCACTAGGCAGGGAGTTCCAAAGTGCAGGTGCTGCCTTCCTAGAAGATGGGTTTCTTATAAATTGCAGCCTAAATCTTTAGTTGATCAGTCAACTGATATGTAGTAATTCATGTATATTTTTGGATTGTTATCCAAAGATGCTGATTGCAGACTCTCCAAGTGTCCCTATTTTCCAAGAACAGTCCCAAATTCACAGAGCCATCCCGGTTTCTGATTTGATCCCGGAATGTCCCACTTTTCCTTCCTTCATTAGAGGAATGTTGGAGGGTACGTGGCTGGGTAGCAAAAGGGTTATGAGGCAGAGTTCTGTGTGTGTCGTGTGTCTCCGCTGCACAGCGTCCTGCATCTCTTTGCTCCCTCTCTCCTGTCCGCAGTCTGGGCTGACCCCTCTCCACGTGGCCTCCTTCATGGGGAACCTCCCCATCGTCAAGATCCTGCTGCAACGAGGAGCCTCTCCCAATGTTTCCAACGTGGTGAGTGGGGAGAAGCGCAGAGGGCAAGTGGGGAAGACATGGACCCCCGCAGCTTCTGGGGACCCCTCAGGATTTGTGCTGAGGCTTTCATAGCCAAAGACTCAACCCTGAGAGCTTTGGCTCTGGGGATTTGTCAGAGATTTGGGACTGGAACATTTCGCTGGAGAGTCCGAGTTGCACAAAACGAATGTTAGGGTGGGTTCCTCAGAATACTGTAGGGCGGGCAAGAGGTGGCAGCTCCTTTGCCCTCGCCCCGCCCCCCTCTCACACACGTGCACATGTGTTTTAGGTGATGACAATGATGACATTTATATCCCACCTTCCTCCAGGGGGCTCAAGGTGGCATGCATGCCTCTCCTTCCTCTCACAAAACCCTGTAAGGGTCCTTCCTCTCACAACAACCCTCTAAGCGACTGCAACTGGCTCCAGGCCTCCCAGCCAGCTTGGTGGCTGAGTGGGGATTTGAGTCCTGGTCCCCCAGTTCTTCATCCAACAGTCCAACCAAGCGGGAGATCTGTGCCCCGACTGCACCGCTACAGGTTTGGGCTCTCATAAGGGAATGAGACCTCCGGCTATAGGGCGGTATATAAATTCAATAAATACAATAAATAAAATGTTCTGTGAAAAATAGCCTTATATTGCTGGACACAAAGCAGTCTTCCTTGACAAGTTTGTTTTCTGTGTGTGGGGCTTGAAAGAATTATACAGAGAAGCATTCTCTTAGGTGAGCCCTCCGTCTGGGTAGAGGTGAGACAGGGAGAATTTGGCCAGCTCTCCGGTTCTTCTTTGCCAGGTTCCTCTTGTTTTGAACAATGAAATGGTTCTTTTTGCAAATCCCTTTGGCCTCTGGACATGCAGGGCATTATTCTCCTCAGAAATGGCGCCACTGGCTTCAGGGGCTGAGGAGCAAGAGAGAGGAGATTTGCACCCCAGGACTTTAGAATCCAGGCCCGGAGCAATTTCTAAGCCAGGTTCGGATCTGATTTACACACCCAGAAAGATGTGTGTATAAACAAGGGTTCAGTCCCTGGTGTCTCCAGGTAGAACTAGGAAAGACCTGTCTTTGACACCCAGGGGAGACAATGCTGGGAAAGAGAGACCAGTGGCTTCTTGGGGGTAAGGCAGCTTCCTATATTCCTAAACCTTCCTAGGTCACACCCACACAGTGCATTCAAAGCACACAACTTGCCCCAAAGAATCCTGGGAACTGTAGCTTGTCCCTCCCAGAGCTACAGTTCCCAGCACCCACAACAAACTACAGCTCCCAGTATTCTTTGGGGGAAACCATGTGGTTTTAGTGTCTGACGCAGAGGTTACCTTAGACTGCACCACTTCAAATTGCATGTGGAACACAACGTATCTGAATGCTCTGTCTCACCTCAAAACACCCTGGTTTGTGGAAATGGAGCAGGGCAGTGAGATAGCTCTTACCTAGCCTTTATCTTTATGTGCTAGCTATTATTATTATTATTATTATTATTATTATTATTATTACTACTACTACTATTTGAATTTTATTTATTATATTTAGACATAAAACATGCAACAGTTAGGTAAAATGAGATCAGTATATGCTCAGATAAACATTCTGAATATATTAACAAAGTTGTTTTAAAGTATATATATCATAATTTTTGCAGATATGAAATGATTTGTAATAATGTGTATGCTTAGATTGTGGACCCTTAGTAAAAGGCATTTTGCATCAATAGCAATTTTAATTTATGGGCATTTATAGGGAGTAAGATGTGCTTGTTTTCTGCCATCATGGAGATTTTTAATGGGCTCAGGGGGAGCGCATTAAGTTCTCCCATCTCTTTGGGCTTGGGTCAAGCCTTTGTTTGCACTGCACGAATAGTACAGGGTGCAAGAATCTCAAGCCCCACTGGCTTTTATAGAGATTGATCAGACGGTCACCGAATGAGATCTTTCAAAACAGATGACATTCCATGCAACCTCTTTTTTCCCCCTTTCCAAAGAAGGTGGAGACCCCCCTACATATGGCAGCCCGGGCTGGGCACACGGAAGTGGCAAAGTACCTGCTGCAGAACAAGGCCAAAGTCAATGCCAAGGCCAAGGTGAGAGCATCCTCGTCTTTCTGGGCCAGCAGCAGTTGCAACCCAGACTCCTGTCCCCATGAGCGCCCCACACTTGCTTGTATGGAGGCAGAGGGGAGGTGGCATGGTGGGGGGGGGGCGCTGCGGAGGAGAAGGCGGATCCAGTCTACAAGGAGGGCACTGCAGCTGTTGCTGCTACCATGGCGGTGGCAGCAGCGGGCAATGCATTCCTTAGAGGCTGAATCTGCTGCCCCTGCGGATCCTGCTGCCTGATGCAGCCTCCTCACCTTGCCTCAGGGTTGGCCCTAGACAACAGGTGCACTTTCTTGTAAGTAAATAATTGAACATTTATTATTGTGGGCTAGTGCTTCAAGCTCAGTGTTTCAGAAAGAGCAGGCTCTAGTCCAGCTGCTCTTATAAGGCAGAAGGGTAGCAACCAGGATTGGCTCACCCATGAGGCAAAGCGAGGCGGCCACCTCAGGCAGCCGGATTACTGGGGCAGCAGATCCCCATGTAGATCTTTAGATCTCGCTCAGAATCAAGGCCCAGGCCCAGGTGTTCAAGATCAGGAACAGGGCTTCAAGACTGCACAGAAACAGTGCAGTTATTCTGGTGAGTCTTCCTGCCTCCCTGCCAAGCTTTTAAGCAGCTTGAGGAGAACGCTTGCGACAATCCCTGTCCCTGCGACACTCTGCCCAGGGAGAAGAGTCTTCTCTGTTCTCCTGCTGGTGCCACCTTTCCCTGGGAGACATCATCAGACCGTCTCACCATCTTCCCATGGGGATACAGTCTCCCCCGTCTTTAATGGTCCCTTGCTCTCTGCAAGTGAGGGAGAAGCAACCTCTGGGTGTTTCGGGGTGGTGGTGTCTAAAGGGTCTATTGCATTGTCTCTTCCTCCCACTGCTGGTTGGAAGGCTCAGAGGGTATCATGACACAGACTTTCCCTTCCTGGAATAAGATGCAAATCTAAATGCAAACATCTCTGAACTTTGTGGTGCAGATGTTGAACCAAGTAACGAGTACAAAAAGGCATATACTATGTAGGGTGCGCATACACATTTCTTTTGAGGACAGAGTGCTGTTGTCTTCATCTGAAGTGTCTTGTCCTTCTTCCCCATTGTAGGATGACCAGACCCCCCTGCACTGTGCGGCCCGCCTTGGCCACTGCACAATGGTGAAGCTGCTGCTGGAGAGCGGCGCCGACCCTAATCTGTCCACAACAGCCGGGCACACGCCCCTGCACATCACAGCACGCGAGGGCCACCTCGACTGCGCCTGCGCCCTCCTGGACAAGCAGGCTTCACAGACGGTCATGACCAAGGTAGGGAAACTGGGGCGCTGGGTCATGTTCCTTCCAAACTGCTGAAGCAAGGCCCCAGACAGCTCCCTGTGGGTGCTGCTAGCCCAGGTTGGGAGGGTCTCACCTCAGCAAAGACTTGGAGCTGCCTGAAGCCTTAGGAAGGCTGGCAGAGGCTTGACTTGGCAGTGACTCTGCCCCCACGAGGTGCTGTGTACAGTATTTAAAGGGCCTGTCCTGCTACCACATGCTGCTCTGGGGTTGTGGAGCACAAGAAGCTGCAGGGGGCGCCTCTTTCAACTCGGAGGGTGATGGAAGAGCCTCATCCGCAGGCCAGGCCAGGAGTAGGGCAGGGGAGCAGCCTCTGAGGCAGGAGATCTGACATGCTCATCTACAGTGTTGACCAAGCTGAAATTCTGTGTTAACCCTTGTTTCTGCTTTAGATGTCTCTCTCTCTCTCTCTCCTGTGCGTGCTGTGGGTGTTGCGATGCCTGCAGGGCAGGGAGTGAGCAGAGAAACCTGGACTGCTGCCTGGCTTGCCTCCCCCTGAGGCCTTCTTGACCCCGCTCCCCCTGATCCCGCTTGACCTGTTGCGTGTCAAAACCCCTCCCCCAGAAAGAAAGACACAGGACACGATGTTTAAGTTTAATGGGCATGAAATGGCCACAACTTTATTGATTAGAGAATTGAAGGTATTGGCCCTAGGCATTGGCTCCTATCCGCTACCCGGCATGATGTCCGGGAAGGGTTACACTACGGGAGTTGAGACCCATAGAACCTTGGGCTGCTCCTGCTTTGCCTCCCCCTGAGCGTTGCTTCCCCCCATTTGCTAACAATTGAACCCCAGCCAATGCCTCCGCCAATACAGGAAAGTTGTGACGGTTTGCTACGAGGTAGGCGAAAAAACCAACTGGCGGAAGATCGCCAACTGGAAAAATTCCTACCAGGCCCCTTGCGGCGACAACCGAGTCCATAGCAAGGTCATGACTACCTACGGCTACCTAAACTCTAAGGTGGTGGGATGGGAACCTCTCAGCTGGTCGGGAGTGAAGAGGCGGACCCTGGCTGCCCGGCTTAAAATACCCTAAGCCACGCTCCCCCCGGCCCGCGATAGGCGGCGGGGTCGCGAGCACCCAGGGATTCCCCAACTCTCGCGGGGCAAGGTTAGCCCCGCGCTTGGGGAGGAGGGCTGACCGCAACCCCCTCCTCCCTATAGTCGGAAATGGCTTTGTCTTCTCTCCCACCAGCAGGCACTGATGCTCCTGTTCTCCCAGAAAGGATTTACCTCTGCACGTTGCTTCCAAATATGGGAAAGGTGGATGTCGCCCAAGGTGCTGCCTGAGCACAATGACCAAGCCCAACCAGCGGGGAAAGGTGCGTATGTCGGGGGCCTTGGCGGGGAGATGCAGCGGCCCTGAGGAATTCAGACCTGGCGATGGTCACAGTGTGTCTTATGTTAGTTGTACCAAGATGGGATAGTGGCAATATGCTCTCTGAAGAGTCTTTGGGTGCTTCACTTGGTGGTCCAGAATAAGCAACTGCAATGATCCCCCCTCCCCCAATGATCAACAAAGGGGAAATACTTGGAAACTTGGGAGGAAGTGATCCTGTCCTCCTGGGTTTCATGATAAGAGGCAAGGGAAAGCTGAGCGTAGCCAGACCTGCACTTCAAAGGAGAAATATTGAAGGCCCAAATGCAGACAATTCCAACAAGAAAGAAACTGGTGTGGATGCCAAAATCAGCAGGAAGAATTCAGTGTCTTCTGTCTCTCAAATTGGTCAAAGTCTGAGTTTCCCTCCTCACAAACACCCCTGACGTCTACAGTAAGCAGGTTCCCCTACCAATATCCTTTCACACCCCCTTTGAACATCCATTCACGTGGAGGCTGCCTCTCAATGTATAGATCAGGATGCTCACCTGCTACAAGGTCATGTCAGAAATTCTTGCCTAAAATAAAATGCTCAAATGCCCCTGCTCCTCTCTCTGCAGAATGGCCTCACGCCCCTGCACGTCGCTGTTCACCACAACAACCTGGACATTGTCAAAGTGCTGCTGCCCAAAGGAGCATCCCCGCACAGCGTGGCCTGGGTAAGGGGCAGGTTTTGCTTCCATGCCGCACTTCTGTCTAGGATTTAAAGATTTGAAGGGCAGCGCCATGGAGGGCAGGGCAGAGGAAACCTGAGCACAGCTGCCCCTTTCTCCTGCCTGCAGGGAGCAGCCCTGGGAGGGGAGTCATGGGGTTGGCAGGAGCCACCGTTGACTCCGGCGGATCAGACTCTGGGGCTTGACTTGCCTTTGGCGGGTGGGGTCGTCTCTCTCCTCTGCAGAACGGATACACCCCCCTGCACATTGCCGCCAGGCAGAACCAGATGGAGGTGGCCAGCAGCCTGCTGCAGTATGGCGCCTCCGCCAACGCCGAATCCACGCAAGCTGTGACCCCGCTGCACCTGGCGGCCCAGGAAGGCCACTCCGATATGGTGGCCCTTCTCCTCTCCAAGCAGGCCAATGGCAACTTTGGCAGCAAGGTGAGTGGAGCAAAAGGCTCCCGTGAGTGTGCAGGTGCCCTGCAGGGACAAAGTCTGCTTCCCAAGGGGGGGGGGGGTGGAAGAACACAACCCTGATAAGGCAGGAGTGGGGAACCTCAGGTGGGGGGCAAATGGTGCCCTCCAGGCCTCTCTGTCTGGCTCTTGGGGGGCTTCCCCACGCCTTTTTCAGTTATTTGCAACTTACCAAGCTAAATTTTGTCCAATCACAAAAATAATAGCAGATTGGAACTCCTCAAGCTCCAAAGCATATTTTTAATAGCAATAATAATAATAATAATAATAATAATAATAATAATAATAATAATAATTTTTATTTTTATTTTTATTTATACCCCGCCCTCCCCAGCCAAGGCCGGGCTCAGAGCGGCTTACAAGCAATAATAAAAACAAGTTGAATGATTACAACTTAAAAACAAAATAAAAATACAACATTAAAATATTGAAACATTAAAATATTAAAATGTAGCCTCATTGCAGGAGGAGAAGGAAAAGAAAAAAGAAAGAGAGGGAGGGAATCAAATTGGCTCCAAGCCAAAGGCCAGGCGGAACAACTCTGTCTTACAGGCCCTGCGGAAAGAAATCAGAAATTTAACACCCCTTACTGAAGAAATCCCCCAAATTTAAGACTCCAGACCTTTTACCATTAGGAAAGTATCAGGGAAATTCACTAAATGGTGTGGGGCAAATGAGGAATGGGAAGGTGTAGAATTGCAGTGCAAGGAAATCAAGATGAAAACAGGATGAATGCTTGTTGTTATTTAGCCATCCACCCCCCCCCCAAACCAATCAATAAAGAGCAGGCGTCGCTCTTCCAGATGCCATATTCAAGCCTCTGGGAGTCTATCATCATCATCATCATCATCATCATCATCATCATCATTTATTTATACCCCACCCATCTGGCTGGGTTTCGCCGGCCACTCTGGGCGGCCTCCAACAGAATAAAAAGCACAATAGCACATCAAACATTAAAAACTACACCAAACAGGGCTGCCTTCAGATCTCAGATAGTTGTTTATTTCCTTGACATCTGATGGGAGGGTGCCGCTACTGAGAAGGCTCTCCCCCTAGAAAGCTGGGAGGGCCCTAGCAGTGGTTCCCGGTGTCTGCCCACCTCCCCACGGAACCCTCTGTGGGTAACCTGGCTCTTGCTTGTCTTCCAGAGCGGCCTCACCCCCCTCCACCTGGTGGCTCAGGAGGGGCATGTCCAAGTGGCAGACGTCCTCCTCCGGGCCGGAGTTCGAGTGGATGCAACAACGCGGGTGAGTCCCTTCGAATGCCATGGCATCCTCCATCAGACAGAGAGGCCCAGAGTCTAGAGTGTCCTTTCTGGTCTGGCTGGCACTGGTGGCCATTGTGGTCCAGAACACCTGGAGGGCCCCAAGTTGGAGAAGGCTGTGCTACGCCATTTGTAGGCTCCAGGTATCTCCTGTGCTTGGGAAGCGGAAGGGACCACCACCAGAACACCATAGCTTTCCAGGGTGCTTTCCAGATGTTGCTGGACTACAGCTCCCATCATCCTTTACCGCTGGTCATGCTGCCTGTGGCTGATGGGAACAGTGGTCCAACCACATCCAGAGAGCGCAAAGCTGGGGAAAGCTCCTACAGCACATGCCTACAGGACCTAAGCCAACCAGGGTTGCTGGTGGCAGAGAGACAGGGGCAAGCCAACAGTCAGCCACATGAAGCAAGTGGAATTAACTCTTTATCAGGAAAAACAGAATCTGCACAGGAGTGCCAGGCCTAAAGAGCACAGCAGCACGCCCTTGGTCGCTCTTGCCCTCATGAGATAGTTGTGGAGACTGAAGGTCCTCACCTTCCCACAGGTGCCTCAGTTCCCTCCTCTGCAGGGTTTTCTTGAAGCAATCTGAGGCTGTGCCTGTGTGATGCCAATTTCTCCTCTGCCCTCTTCATGCCTCTCCTGGTTCTGGGAGACCAGCAGGGAGGGGAGCTTGTTGCAGCAGGAGGGGGAGCTACTTGTTAATTCTCACCAGCTGGACTCCTCTCTGCCTCTGGACCTCCTCCCTCCCTCCCTCCCTCCTGCTTCAGCTTCTGCCCCTGATTCTGGACTTCTCTCTGCCACAAACTCTCCCTGCCCGCTAAGCTCTGTTACCTCTTCCACTTCCGACCCCTCCTCTTCCCAGTCTGCTCCCTCTTCTCCCTCTAACCATTCATTGTCACCCCACCACCAAGCCTTGACCTGAAAGTCTGCCCTTTTCATATGTGCCTCACAGATGGGCTATACTCCGCTGCACGTGGCTTCTCACTACGGGAACATCAAACTGGTGAAGTTTCTGCTGCAGCATCAAGCGGATGTCAATTCAAAGACCAAGGTATGGAAAGACTCTTGAAGGCATCCTTTCTCAAGCGTCATCCCTGACTGCTGCTCCTGCTGGTTATGGATGATGGGAGTGGTAGTCAAACAATATCTAGGAACCCAAGAAAGGCTGCTATGATCACTTGTTTGTCTTTCTTATTTTTATTTCTGCTCTGTTTGGTTTATAAGAATTCTGTTATTATTTGCTGTATGGTCACTCATCATTAAATGTCCCAAGGATGGCTGACAAGCAAGACAAATTCATTTCATTTATTTATTTTAATAAAAATTGTACACCATTTGATTGTAAAACAAACAAACCTCACAAAGTGGCTTATGAAATCAGTGATAGACTAAAAACAGATTAAAGCACATGTCAACATTCTACACATCTGGTAAAAGGTAAAGGTAAAGGGACCCCTGACCATTAGGTCCAGTCATGACCGACTCTGGGGTTGCGGCGCTCATCTCGCTTTATTGGCCGAGGGAGCCGGCGTACAGCTTCCGGGTCATGTGGCCAGCATGACTAAGCCTCTTCTGGCGAACCAGAGCAGCGCACGGAAATGCCATTTACCTTCCCGCTGGAGCGGTACCTATTTATCTACTTGCACTTCGTGCTTTCGAACTGCTAGGTTGGCAGGAGCAGGGACCAAGCAACGGGAGCTCACCCCGTCATGGGCATTCGAACCTCTGACCTTCTGATCGGCAAGTCCTAGGCTCAGTGGTTTAACCTACAGTGCCACCCGCGTCCCTACACATCTGGTAGGCTTGCCTAAATAAAAATGTTTTTAGCAGGCGCCAGAAGGAGTGCAGTGAAGGTGCCTGCCTGCTGTCGATAGGCAGGGAGTTCCAAAGTGTAGGTGCTGCCACAGTTAAATATTGATTTTTAGAAATGTGGAACATATATTATGTGGTGCCTGTAACAGTGCCAGTTCTGTAGATCAAAGCGATCAAGAAGGCATCCATGGGGTAAGGTGACCTGTGCGTGCCTTTCATGAATTACATGTGGATCCTGCTCTCGGAACACTCATTATCCGAAACTTCAGTTATCCAAACCTTCATTCATCCAGTCCTTCTTTGAAAGCCTTCTAAGCCAGTGACCATCACCACAAATTGGTGGCAGCGAATTCAAAAAAACTAACTCTGTTGTTGTGTGAAGCACTTTTCTTTCACTTGCTGCCAGTCATATTTCCTTGGTGTTAGGAGAGAAGCATGTCTGCCTGCCTTCCCCTTGCTTGCTTGCTTGCCTGTTTTCTAAATTGTGGCCCCCCAAACCCTTTATCCTTTGGGGTGAAGAAAGTGCTCCTGCCTCTTGATTATATTGACTACCTTGGGATGAGGAATTTGTCCCCATCCTGCTTCATTTGAGTTTGACACTCCTGGCCTGAAACCAACACAAAATGAAACCATCACTCACATCGGTTAAGTAAAAAGCAAAGTTGGCCACATTGGTCCCTACGATGAAAATCCACAGTTAGGATTCAGTCATCAATCTCCATTTTCAACCTGCAGCTACAAGCTGACTTCATGGGTGCAATATCCTGTCTAATTTTTGCCCCCCCTTCCTTATTTGTTTTCCTTGAAACACCCCCCTTCACTTCTTGCTTTGTGCAACACCTTCCCTGATGAAGAGTTCTGGAGAACTCCAAAGCTTGCTGCCCTTTGCGGGGAAGGAGGGACTGCAGCTCACTCTGCCCCCCCCCCCCGAAGCTCCCAGCAAATTCAATTCCCCCCCCCGGCATCTCCAGGGACGGCTGGGGGGGCTTCTGCCTGGCTCCCCGGGGAACCTCTGCCAGTCAGGGCAGACAATACTGAGCCTTGCCGAACCAGTTTCCTAGCTTCCTGCCATCATTGGTCCTTGTAAAGGTGTGCTTACACTATGCCTTTAAAGCACTTTCTTTCCCCAACGAATTCTGGACCCTCACAGAGCTAGTTCCCAGCAGCCCTCAGCCAACTTCAGTGCCCAGAATTCTTTGAGAGAGAGAACATGCTTGGGGTATGCTTTATAAAGCTATGTGCCATCGCAAGCTGTTCCTGGGTGTACTCGTTTTCTTTCTCTTTCTCTCCCAGCTGGGATACACTCCTCTGCACCAAGCGGCCCAGCAAGGGCACACCGACATCGTGACCCTTCTGCTCAAGCATGGTGCCTCGCCCAATGAAGTCAGCTCGGTGAGTGTGGGCTCCTGAGGGCCTGCTCGGCTGCCGCTGTTTCTCTCCACGTGTCCGCCTCCAGAGGCAGCAGCGTCAGCGGCGGCCGGCCGTGCCTGTGCGAGCAAGTCTGGCGGCGGAATGGTGGCGAGGTGCTGCGGCTGCCGCCGGGCCCTGGCGGTGGTGCCTCCCGGCGCGCTCTGCCTGGGCGCAGCGCTCAGCGGGCTCTTCAGCTTCGGCTTCTTGGCCGCGGCCCTGGTGCTACAGCCTGCGCCCGAGGCTCTTTGGAGACTCCGGAGGCGGCGAGCGCGCCCCCCCAGATGTTGCGCCCGGTGCGGCCGGCCCCCCCTGCACACCCCATGCTACGCCACTGCCTGGTGCTTCTCCCAGTGTTGCTGCTATCGCTACAGAAAGAGGCAGTCAAATCCTGGACTGCAATACTTCAACGGGGGTGTGTGGGTGGGCATAATTTTGAATGCTCACACATAAACAATCCATGCATGCAGAAAGCTAGTATAAGGTACACCTTATATAGTGTAAGGTAGAACAGTTAAGTTTAGCCTTCTCCCTGACAAAGAGGCTGTCTACCAGCTCCATCTGGTACGCCGGATGAGACCCTGCCTCCCTGTGTACTGTCTCGCCAGAGGCTGCGGAGACCATAGAACACTGGTCCCAAAGGATCTTCACTGGCTCCCAGTATGTTTCTGAGCACAATTCAAAGTGTTGGTGCTGACCCTTTAAGACCTAAACAGCCTCAGCCCAGTATACCTGAAGGAGCATCTCCACCCCCATCGTTCAACCTGGACACCAGGGTCTGTCTGTGAGGGCCTTCTGGCGGTTCCCTCACTGAGAGAAGTGAAGCTACAGGGAACTAGACAGAGGGCCTTATTGGTAGTGGCACCCGCCCTGTGGAACAGCCCCCTTCAAGGAAATAAACAACAATCCGACTCTTAGAAGACATCTGAAGGCAGTCCTGTAAAGGGAAGTTTTTAATGATTGATGTTTGATTATGCCTTTATATGTGTTGGAAGCCACCCAGAGTGGCTGGGGCAAAATATGTCAGATAGATGGGGTACAGAATAATTATTATTATTATTATTATTATTATTATTATTATTATTATTATTATTATTTATTAGAGGCAGGAAGAATCCTTGGTCACATTTGTAGCATACATTAAAAATATATTGATACAACTTTTTAAAATCATGGCTTCCACTCTTGCAAAGAATTCTGGGAGATGTAGTTCGCTGAGGGTGAAGAGAGTTCTTAGGAGCTCCCTAACCCCCATTTCAGAGCTACAGTTCCCTCTGCACTGAGATTTCCAGTGGCTGAAGTGCGGGTTTCATTGCCCAGAAAAGCTCCTGGCCCTTCCCCATTATGCAACTTGAATGCAAGTTTGCATACTTTTTGCAAATTGCTAAATTCAGCTTTTTGGTGCAAAAAAATGTAGATATTTACACACAGGCCTGACCTAAGGCTTGTATGCTGTTGGCTGAGTGGTTTTCTCCCACCTGCCCGCTTCTCTCTGCAGAATGGGGCCACACCTCTGGCCATTGCAAAGCGTCTGGGCTACATTTCTGTGACCGATGTGCTGAAAATTGTCACTGATGAGTCCCGCTTCTTGGTGAGTCCCCCGTCAATCCTGACCTGGGCTTGGAGGGTGGGGTGGGGAGGGGGAGCAGTGCTGTGGTGACCCTGAAGCTGTGCTCCCGCCTGACCTCTTGCCTCTTGCAGTCATTCAGTGACAAGCACCACATGAGTTTACCAGAGACGGTGGACGAGATCCTGGATGTGTCCGAGGACGAAGGTGCGTTTCCGGCTTCCCCTGTGCTTGGGGCTGCTCTGGGAGGGAGATACGGGCACCAGGGTGACAGAGGCTGTGCACACACCAAAGCGCATTCTCCACCCACCCCAAGAAACTTGGGAACTGCAGTTTCCCCCTCACAGAGCTATAGTTCCCAGCACCCCTCAAAGGACAGTTCCCGGAAATCTTTGGGAAGTTGTGTGCACAGCCTGACTCCTGCCCTCCTTGCAGTCGGTGCCAGCTTTTCCTGTTTAATGGCTGCACTGGGTATTTTTTGGTAGAAAAGAGGACTGAACTGAAACGGAACATTCCGCAACCTTTCTCTCCCTGCTTGATTTTATCTGCCACTCCTCCTGCCTGCCCAGATCCATTTCCCTACCTGCCCCCCCCCCCCAGCATAAGCATAAGTAGCCTCTACTTTCAAGCCTTCACAAATTATTTGGAAATGAGTTTGTGACGGTGCCTCCACTTCCTTTTTGAATTCAGCTTACAGTAGCTTGGAGAACATGACCAGCAAGGCTTGCTTTCTGCACAGCTTAGAGCAGTTCAAGTCCCTGCACAAGGATGCGCCACCAGCGGGTCTCTGCGTTTGCCTCAATCCCAGGGGAGCCCAGCAAAAGCACAGAATAGGGCAGTGGGAATCCGGAGAATCTTCGGCTTAGATTATTGTTTTGAAACAAGTTTCTGGCCCATATGAAGGCCTAGATTTTATGTTGTGAATCAAATAAATACATAAGATGTGCTTGAAATTGCTTGAGGAAGTGCCTGCTGACTCTTAGAAGCCAGAGGTGAAGCTGCATAGGGGCACTCGGTGTTCATAGATTTGTAGAGCTGGAAAGTGACCCTAGTCCAACCCCCTGCAATGCAGGGCTCACAGCTGAATAGCAGGCCTGGATCTCATGCCTGGCTGCCATCAGGGACGGGGCCTTCTTTCTCCCGCCTCTCTCAGAATGATGCCAAACACCAGCCCACCTTGGGACAGGCGGCCTGGCAGGGGTTTGGTTTTGAGCTGAGGCACAGAGGGTGCCAGGCCATGTACTTGTGCGTTTGCGCCCACCAGCCTGGAGCGCACAGTTCAAACTTGCTCTTCTTTTTTTCTTGCTTTCCAGGCACGGCTCACATAACTCTCCTGGGTACGGACTGTGTGTTGCTGTTGTGGGCTTGGCTCGCCCGCCCAACCCATCTGCCCCATTCCACCCCACGCGGACCCACCAGGCCTCACATGCCTCCATCCCATGCCGCCCTTGGCTTCCCAGGGGGCCAGCTCGCCCACCTGCCCACTCATTGTGTCTGTGGCTGTGAGGATGGTGGGGAGAGGGTGGCGTGGGGAAGGGGGCTGCATGAGAGAGCCCTCACCCATATGGCTGCTGAGCTCTGCTGCACACTGGTCCACAGGTGGGAGGCACGCCAGGGCATCTGTGCCAGGGCTTAGAGAGCTATCCCAGGAAGAAACCTGGGCTTTTGCCTGTCTCCCTTAGAAGGGAACCATCTCCTTTTGCTCCCGGACTCCCCTTGCTGCTGACCATCACTCCTGAACCCCCTTCTCCCTCTCTTTCCACATTTGCGTTTCCACCTCACTTCCCATCTCTTTCAAGGATCGGAGGAGTCGCTTAAGTGGGAGGGAAGACAGCACAAGGATCTGAGCCACACACCCCCCCAACCTCCCTGCTTTCCTTGAAGTTGGTGACAACGACCCATCCTTCCCAGTAACTGACCAGCTCTCAGCAGCTCCTCCTTCCTCCACCCCACCCCTGCACTGTGGACCAAACTACATGTGGCCACAAATGCAGGGCACCCCCACCCCTCCCAAAACTGCCAGGGCAGAAGGGCTGATTCAGATTAGGACCCAGCACAGTTTTACTCTGAGTAGAATCAGTAGTTGATACAAGCCTTGTCCGCTCCATGCCCATTAATTGTCCTGTGCCTGCAATTTGCACTCACTGAAAGGATCCCATTTGCTTCCATTTCGGGTACAAGGGCTGGTTGGGTCAGGATCATGACCAAGGGTTAAAGCACCCTCTTTTCCTTTAATGTCCTGGGGTGAAATCTGAAACAGCCCAGCACTGTTAGAACTATGCTGTGAAGGTCACATGTCATCCGGCCCCAAACCTTTTATCAGGCCCCTGGCTTAGTCCTCCAGGCCACCTGAGCTTGGAGCCCAACCTGGCCAGGCCATTCACAGGCATCAAGGCCATGGTGGTCTAAGTTGGTCTGAAAGAGTGATCACTCCTCGTGGTGTGGACACTCACCCCACTTTTGCTTCTGGTCCAGGAGCATCCCAGTTCCTGAGATTTCAGGAGCCCTGAGGAAGTGGGCCCCACAGATGTCACTAGGCATGGCACGTTAAGCATTAAACACAGTCGCTGAGAGTATGTCATTCACACAAAACCCACAAAGTCTAACGAATGAGCCAGGTATTCATGCGGACTCATCACCCTCTCCTCCCCTTCAGCCCAGCCCAGTCTTCCTTTGTGCTCCCTCCCACAGCTGAGCCCTGGAGATGGAGGTTCATTGGGAGAGCAGAGAGGGCTAAGGCCCCAAAAGTCTATAAATTTTTGCAGCTGGCTCCTGCTGGGCTGAAGCTTGCAAGCTGCACGCACAGTCTTCTTCTTTATAATCTATTTTTTCCACATAAAATACAATAGAAGCCAGACTAATCTAGAGAAGAAAATTAAGAAAGAAGCAAGAATAAGAAAAGGAAGAAATAAGAAGAAGAGAAGAAGAGAAAGAGAATAAAAGGCTCTTTATGACCATTGTGCCTTGACCTTTATTCTCCACACAGAAGAATGAGTTCTCACCTGGGAGCTTCCCCCTCCTCTCCCCAGCCTCCCACTCTGGGAGATCCTCTCTGCTCTGCCCTCACACATGGCTCTCCATCTTCCAGCCATCGCCTTCCTGCATTTATCTTCATTAGCCTAAGACAGAAAACTACAAAAACAAAGCATAAATGTAGATGGAATTAACCAAAACACAAGAACAACAACAAGAAGAATGAGAGCTCATATAAAAAGAAGATAAGAGAAGTTTTAAGAAAGAAAATAAGAAGGGCTTCCGCTTTTCTGTCTGCCAATTATGACAATTATTCAAAATATGCACTCCAGGATAACATCTATCTCTATTAATTTCCAGCTATTTCCCAATCTGCTTGGCATTTTTTTCTCAATCTTCAATCCCAGGCATCTGAAATCCACCTTTTTCCATCCAAAAAGTCCAACAGGAGCTCTCCAGCTATTATTATCATTACATGCCAAAATAGTCCTTCCGACTAATCTTAAGAATGTCCTTCCTTATTGACTTGTGTCTTCATTAATTTCTACCCAATTCCTTATGTTCCAGTCCTATTTCCTGTTGACCATGCTTCGTCTTAGTTGAAAAGGAAAAGGAAAATCCTTCTGATCCTCCACTTTTCCCATTCTTTTCCCAAGAGCTTAGAGGTTTTTTCTTCTGTGTTCCCTTTAATTTGTACCCAAAGCCTTTTCTCTCTCGGCTCCATCGCTGCTGCCACCTCCGGTTGCCTCTTAAGGCCTCTGTTCACAATTCCTTTCACCCCCACTTTGTCTGCTTCAGTCCTTCAGACAGCTGTATGGATGTCATCTCATGGTCAGGCAGATCTGGGCCCACATCTTTCCCCAAAGGCCCTGCGCGCTCGTTCATCCCGTCTCCTTAAACCTTCTGCGCATCTCAGCTCTTGGTTCTGTTTGCTGTTCCTCCAGCCCTTGGCAGAGGACACCAGTGAGGGAGGAGGCATTCAGCATTGCCTTTGCCTCCAGGAACTTGTGTCTGCTTCTTTAAATGCTCCTTCCTTTCTCACAAAGATAAGGGACTCAGCTATACAGCTGCAAATAATATGATTTAAATGTGTTTACATGCAGTATACAATGTGACACTAGAGGGCGATGGTGAGCCACATGAAAAATGCAATGTATTTTTAAGAACGCTTTTTAAAAAAGCATTTTCAAAGTGGTTTTTATATGTGTGTCGATTCCACCAAGGTTCAGTTTTGTTTTTGCAGCCAACACAGCATGTACAAGATGGAGACTTAGGGGCAGTATAAAGTGAAGATTTTAAACAGATTCAGAGCCATATTATCAGTTGTGTTCTTTCTTAGTTGCCAGTGATTAAGATAAGCTTTTTGGTTAATTTTTCAGCCTGTTAAATAATGCTTTTTCATTCCCCAGCAGCCCATTTGTCATCTGGGTGCTGATTAATTGGCAGATAGAAAATCGGATTTATAGTTATTTCCAGGTTTCAGAAATAGTTAAAAGAATCTAATCTAAGGGCTATTATGCGATGCAGGGGCCTGTGTGTCCTCGCTTGAGACACTCCTCCACCCTGAAAACTTCTGTCTCTGGTGTAATGGTTTTTTCTTCTGAGCATTTGAGGCTTATCCTTGAACTCCCTTATCTCGCTGCATAATTATCTCCACTGAGAGGAGTGCCAGCAGTCAACTACATCTGCCATCGCCCCCCCCCCAATCTTCTTAATTAAAAAAAACAAATAAAAAGAAAAGGCCTTCTCTCCTCCCTGGAGAGTCACGCCCCTCCCCCCAGGCACACCTGGAGACTTCCTGGGGGATCTGGCAGCCCTTCTCCTTTCCAACTTCTCCTTGAGTTTGGAGTTGTATCCAAAGTTAATTCTGCCCAGAGTAGACCCATTGAAGTTCCCCAGCATGCCTAGTTTAGGCTCATTCATCTCAAGGGGTCTACACTGAGTAGGACTCAGCTGCATACCACCACCCCCCCCCCAGTTTTTATAGCTGTGCTGGGATCCTGGCTTGGCTGCCAGTCCATGAGGTTTTCATGGGGATTATTATCCGCCTTTTAATTGTCTTGTCTTGTGGGTAGTAAGAAGCCTTCAGTTTCTTTGAAAACTGCCCTTAGCAACAGAGCAGGAGAGAGAGAAAAGGTGTGCAAGCAGCGTGGGAAGAGCAAAGCTCATGCTGGAATGGGCAGGGGCCAAAGGGGGCCAAGCCATAGTGCAACCCCCCCCCCTCTGTGCAGCCGACTCCTTGCTCCTCCTGCCCCCCCCCCGCCTCCATCCCAGCAGGGGCACATTCCAGCCAAGGGAGACCCCACGAGGCTGTGAGCAGAGCCAGGGAGGAGGAGAAGAAGCCTGGGGAGGCTCCCGAGTGTCTGGGACAGAGGCCTGGGGAGCCCCCTTTGTGCTTCCCCCCTCTGTCCCATTTGATACATTGCCGGTGATGCCGGAGTTGGCTGTTCTGTGTGGCCAGATCCCATGCCCTTCCCAGGATGGAATTGTAGACAAATCTCCCCAAGTCAGCATCTCTCACCAGCTGGGCCTCTAAGGGCTCATGCAGACTTGCTTTTGTGGCACGTTTTGAGGCACACGCCCACGCCTTCCTGGTTTGTGTCTGAGTTTTTGTGGGGTTTTTGCCGTGGCTCTTTCCTGCTTTTTACTGCTGAATCAGAGCATATGGGAAGCCACAGAAAACTCAAATTGCTGTTTATTCTGGGGAAAGCAATGGGGCGGGGGGGGGAGCACTCCGACATGGAGTTTTAAAGGGTGGAGCTGAGTGAAAAAAGTGTGGGGCGAATGGTCAGTGTGGATGAGCCCTAACCCTGGCATTGCCCCTGTGAACCATCTCCTCTCATGTCACTGCATCCATGGGGCAAAGTGGGGTCCTGCCCAAAATGGAAACCAACAGCCCGCTCACCCCCAGTGATTCCCTTGGCCCCTTCCCCAGCCTGGATCTCAAGCGGCAGGAGGGCCAACGTCCCTCCATTGCCCAGTTGGCTACAAGCGCTGCTGTGCTGCTCGATTTGGCCCTGAGCCAAGTGCTGCTGGTGGGGCTTTCTTCCCCCCTTTTCTTTTCAGCCCTCTCTCTTTTTCAGGTGATGAGTTGCCCGCTACAAAGCCACAGAAGCGGGACTTCCAGTATCAGGAGGATGAGAGAGAAATTGTGGAGTTTGTCCCCAAACTGGACCACACGTAAGACATGCTGGGCAGGGAAGCAGCAAGGCGGGAGTTGTCCTTTTGGGGGAAGCTGGGGTTGGCCCCAAGACATTTGGGTCCCTCCAGCAGAGACTTCAGCTGGCCTCCCTTCCACTGGGGTGAATTTAACAAGGAGCAATTATTGTTTGAATGGTAATAAATACCATTCTAGTCAAGTTGTGTGGGATCAATTCCAATCTGTTACCTCCAAAGATGTGGACAGGCTGCTTGGACGATTGAAGCCAACCACCTGTCTCCTTGATCCTTGCCCATCCTGGCTTATAAAAGCTAGCCGGGAAGGACTGGGCGATGGGCTTCGTGGGGTGGTGAATGCTTCCCTCCGTGAGGGAGACTTCCCAGACCTGCTAAAAGAGGTGGCTATTAAACTGCTTCTTAAAAAACCATATTTAGATGTGGCCATGATGGCCAACTATCACCCAGTCTCAAATCTTCCATTATTGGGCAAGGTGATTGAGCGAGTGGTTGCTGAACAACTCCAGGCACGCCTGGAAGAAGCGGACCATTTGGATCCCTTCCAATCGGGATTCAGGCCTCATCATGGGACTGAAACTGCCTTGGTTGCACTGGTTGATGATCTCCGGCGGGCTAGGCACAAAGGTGAGAGCTGTTTCCTAGTTCTGCTGGATCTCTCAGCGGCGTTTGATACCATCGACCATAACATCCTTCTGGACCGTCTAGAGGGGCTGGGAGCTGGGGGCACTGTCATACAGTGGTTTCGCTCCTTCCTCCTGGGCCGTGTTCAGAAAGTGGTGGTGGGGGATGAGTGTTCAGACCCCTGGGCTCTCACTTGTGGGGTGCCTCAGGGTTCCGTCCTCTCCCCCATGCTTTTTATGAAGCCGCTGGGAGAGATCATCAGGGGGTTTGGGCTGGGTGTTCAACAGTATGCGGATGATACCCAGCTCTACCTCTCTTTTAAATCAGAATCAGTGAAGGCGGTGAAGGTCCTGTGTGAGTGTCTGGAGGCAGTTGGAGGATGGATGGCGGCTAACAGATTGAGGTTGAATCCTGACAAGACAGAAGTACTATTTTTGGGGGACAAGAGGCGGGCAGGTGTGGAGACTCCCTGGTCCTGAATGGGGTAACTGTGCCCCTGAAGGACCAGGTGCGCAGCCTGGGAGTCAGTTTGGACTCACAGCTGTCCATGGAGGCGCAGGTCAATTCTGTGCCCAGGGCAGCAACCTCACAGGGTTGTTTTGAGGAGGAAATGGGGGGGGGGGACATGTATACCACTTTGAGCTCCAGTGCAGGAAAAGGCAATAAAATGCCCACTTAGGAAATGAATGGGATGGTTTCAAGCATAAAACCAGAAGAACGTAGAAACAGTTTTGTTAAGTTGTGGGTGAACATATCAGACGACACAGCGATTCTTCAAACAGTTCTTCTTTATTCAGAGGCCAGAACAGAACTGAGCTGAAGGGCTCAGTCAGCCCGCTTATATAGAGCTCCAGTACACATAATTGTTACAACTTTCTAAAACTATCCAATCATTGAACATCACTTTCGATCCCTTATTTGCATAACTATCTACAGTATCCCCCTGCTGGCCCAGGGTGAGAACTTCAGTACATAACAAGTTTTTTAAAGTTCTATATGCAAAACAAGCTAAGAAGAATTCCACATATAAATCAGGTTTTTCAGCAATAGTTGCTTGACTGTGTTCTGCTTCTCAGGAGGGAAGAGTCTCCCGCCATCCCGCGAATCCCGTGTGTGACGCCTGAGACGGTCCTGATCCGACCCGAGGAGCCAGAACAGGTGGGTGGGTGTCTGTCTCAGCAGAGCTGGAGGGGCAGAGCCGTAAAAAGGACCTGGGGGGGACCCACAGCGTCCATCCACAGTGGCCCTTGGCCCTTGGCTTCTTCCTCTTCGGAGGCTAAGCCACTGGCGACCAGAAATGATGCCTTTGCAGCAGTGGTGCCCTGAAACTGACACACCTGTCCCAGAGAAGCTCCCATCGTGGCTGCTGGATCTCTTTTGCGCAGCAGTTGCTGGAATCCACAGGAGGGAGAGTGCTCTTTGCAGGTGCTGGACTAGAGGGGCTTTCTGTCCCCATTGAGTCATCTCCATTGGCCTCCATGGCTCTGGGAGGGGGGCAAAGCCCACATGCTTTGAAGACATGTGTCTCAAGCAGGCTGCCGCCCAATGTCCCCTCCCAAGTCACCCCTGGCTGTAGGGTGGGAGCATTGGCATGCTGAGGGAGGGGCCCCAAAATTGCATGGCTGGGATCTGGAGGAAGATGGACCCCCATAAAAGAAGAAGGCAGAGGTGGGGGCGTGGGGAGCCCTCAGTTTCCACAGAGGTCGTTGGTGGAGGCATCTAGGCTTGTGCTTGAACGGGTCCTCTGATTCTGTCCCGTGTAGGCTTCCAAGGAATTTGACGAGGAGTCTCTCATCCCAAGCAGCCCTGCCACAGAGACCTCCGACAACATCAGCCCTGTGGCCAGCCCAGTCCACACAGGGTGAGTTTCTCCTGCTTCTCACATCCCCACTTGCCCTGGGATGTTTCCCTGCAAAACCCCAAAGTGGAGCGTGTCCTTCAGGCACCCGGGACGTGAGACAGATCAGCCCCTGCAGCTATCCCAATGGCTTATCCTGAGTCAAATCAAGGAACGGCCAAGCCCAGCTGTGTCCTGCATGCTCTGACTGGCAGCAGCTCTCCTGGGCCTTAGGGAGAGCACCTGCCAAGAGACCTTCTGCTTTCAAGGCAGATGCTCTTCCCCAATAAGGAACATAGGAAGCTCAGCCACACCTTTGCTTGCCACACCACTTTCCCCTGGGAAACCTGCAGCTTAGCGCAGAATCAGAACAAATGGCAGCTGGGTTCCCTGCAGATCCTCCAGCTGAGGAGCAACCACTGGGGTGAAGGGGGGTGCATTTCCAAGCTTCTCTGCTTTGGGACTCTGGGAAGCCCTGCTGTGCCCTGTGCATTGGACAACTGAATCCTGCCTTTTTGCCCCCTCCCCAGATTCCTCGTCAGTTTCATGGTGGATGCTCGTGGCGGGTCCATGCGTGGGAGCAGGCACAACGGCCTCCGCGTCATCATCCCACCCAGGACGTGCGCAGCACCCACACGCATCACCTGCCGCCTGGTCAAGCCCCAGAAACTGCAGGCCCCACCTCCTCTGGCCGAGGAAGAAGGGTTGGCCAGCAGGATCATTGCCCTGGGCCCTGCCGGAGCACAGTTCCTCAGGTGAAGAAGGCTAGACACTCTCCTCTCTGGGCAGTGCCCTGGCTGCCCTCACTAGCGGGTTGCTGGCCAGTTGGCACTCTGAGCTCTAATCACTCGCCGCCATGGGTGCTGGGGCAGGAAAAGGAAGGTGGTGGGTGGCCCTGCCGTTCCTACATCAGGAAGACATCAAAGCCCTCGTGGTACCTCTAAGCGCCAAATGCGTATAATCTCAAATGCAGTGCTTGGGGGCACATCCAAACTGAAATCCCAGCATCCTATCTCTCTGTGTATGTTATATGTTCATGGCTTTCAGCATAGAGATGCTGTGGAGCAGAGCAGGGATGGGGAGCCTGTGGTCCTCCAGATGCAGCTGAAGTGCAGTGTTACTTTGAATGACCTCCAGGGTCCCTCCAGCTCTGTGACTCTAGTTCTCCACAACACTTAAAAATAAATATTAGAAAGGTTTTTTATTAATGTAAAATCAAGAGTACCCAAAACCAACCAAACCCCGAAATCAAAGTTACAAAACATAGGAGGAGCAGTATAGAGGTTGTATTTTCCAAAGAAACAGAAAACAGATAATGTAAAACAGTAAAAGAAGCAAAACATAGCATCAAAGCCAAATATCACAATTTGATGGTGGGGGAAAGTTCAGTGTATCTGAATCTGACACATAAGAAATGAAATCCCACCCAGTGGCGTAAAAACGTTCCAGGTCTTCCTTACCTTTAAAAGCACGTAATTTGTGAGTTATTTTTTCTGCACTAGCCAGAATCTACATACACTTCCTCTTCTCCTGCTGCTTTCCCCTGGAGAAAACTGATCCGTAGTGCTCAGCAAATGGAGCAAATGGCAATTTGGGTTTTCTCCGAATTGACATTTGCTCAGAGGAAACCCGCTTGGCCCTCTGCATTCCAGGCATGGAAGAAGCAGAATATGGACAAGAACATATTCTTTTTTTCTTTTCTTTTTTGGAAAATAATATTTATTACTTTTCCAACAATTTAAACACAACACTACAAAAACAACAACAAAAAAACAATACAATACAAAAACACTACATAACACTAACACATTAAACTAACATAACCAAACAAAAACAGTTTAAAACACATCAAACAATTTCAGTATCTTATCTTTCATTCACTTATTTCCACGACCTCCTCACACCTCCCTTTTTGTATTCCACTTCTATTAGTTGTTTCAGCAATTCCTTTCCATCTTCCTCTGTTTTCTATCCTATAATTATCTTAACACATTCTAACCTTATTTTTCCTTTAATATTCTATTAATCTATTTATACTTAATTCCTTATAACATTTCTACTAAAGCCATATCACTTCATTCCAACATTCTTCTAACATTCATTAATTTTACAATATTTCTGTAAATAGTCTTTAAACTTTTTCCAGTCTTCTTCCACCGACTCTTCTCCCTGGTCTCGGATTCTGCCAGTCATTTCCGCCAGTTCCATATAGTCCATCAACTTCATCTGCCATTCTTCCCTGGTGGGTAAATCTTGTGTCTTCCAATACTTCACGATGAGTATTCTTGCTGCTGTTGTTGCATACATAAAAAAAGTTCTATCCTTCTTTAGCACCAATTGGCCGACCATGCCCAGGAGAAAGGCCTCTGGTTTCTTCAGGAAGGTATATTTAAATACCTTTTTCATTTCGTTATAAATCATCTCCCAGAATGTCTTAATCCTTGGGCATGTCCACCAAAGGTGAAAGAATGTACCTTCAGTCTCATTACATTTCCAACATTTGTTGTCGGGCAAATGGTAAATTTTTTCAAGCTTGACTGGCGTCATGTACCACCTATAAATCATTGTCATTAAATTTTCTCTTAGGGCATTACATGCCGTGAATTTCATACCTGTGGTCCATAACTGTTCCCAGTCAGCCATCATTATGTTATGTCCAACATCTTGTGCCCATTTAATCATAGCTGATTTCACCGTTTCATCCTGAGTGTTCCATTTCAACAGCAAGTTATACATTCTTGACAAATTCTTGATTTTTGGATCTAACAATTCTGTTTCCAATTTTGATTTTTCCACCTGGAAACCAACTTTTTTGTCCAATTTGTATGCCTCCATTATTTGGTAATAATGGAGCCAATCTCGCACTTTGTTTTTTCAATTTTTCAAAGCTCTGCAATTTTATTCTGTCTCCATCTTGTTCCAGAATTTCCCAATATTTCGGCCATTTGGCCTCCATATTGAGTTTTTTCTGTGCCTTCGCTTCCATTGGTGACAACCATCTTGGGGTTTTCTTTTCTAACAAATCCTTATATCTTATCCAAACATTAAACAATGCTTTTCTAACAATATGATTTTTAAACGCTTTATGTGCTTTTACCTTATCGTACCACAAATATGCATGCCAACCAAATGCATTATTGAAACCTTCTAGATCCAACACTTCAGTGTTTTCAAGAAGCAGCCATTCTCTCAGCCAGCAAAAAGCAGCTGATTCATAATAAAGTTTAAGGTCTGGCAGGGCAAATCCACCTCTTTCTTTGGCATCAGTTAATATCTTAAATTTTATTTGAGGCTTCTTGCCCTGCCAAACAAATCTAGAAATATCTTTCTGCCACTTCTTGAAACAATCCATCTTATCCAAGATTTGCAATGTTTGAAACAAAAATAACATCCTTGGCAACACATTCATTTTTATCACAGCAATTCGGCCTAACAATGATAACTTCAAATTTGTCCATACTTCTAAATCCTTTTTCACTTCAATCCAACATTTTTCATAATTATCCTTAAATAAATTCACATTTTTGGCAGTCATGTTAACCCCTAAATATTTCACTTTCTTAACCAATGTTAGTCCTGTCTCCTCCTGAAACTTCTCTCTCTCATTCACGGTTACATTTTTCTCTAAAACCTTAGTTTTCATCTTATTCAGCTTAAAGCCTGCTACCTGTCCGAATTCTTGAATCAGTTCCAATACCCTTTTAGTACTAGATTCTGGCTCCTGTAAAGTCAATACTAAGTCATCAGCAAATGCTTTCAGTTTGTACTGTTTAGTTCCCACTTGTATACCTTTAACCTCTTGGTCCTTTCTAATCATATTTAACAAAACCTCAAGGACCGATATAAAGAGCAATGGAGAAATTGGGCAACTTTGTCGTGTCCCTTTCTCAATCTTAAACTCTTCTGTCACTACATTGTTCACAATTAATTTTGCCTTTTGTTCTGAATAAATTGCACCTATACCATTTTCAAAACCTTGACCTACCCCCATCCCCTGTAGATTCTTCTTCATAAAACTCCAAGAGATATTGTCAAAGGCTTTCTCTGCATCCACAAATATCAAGACTGCCTTAGTATTGATATTCACTTGTAGTTTTTCTAGAGTATTAATTATATTCCTCATGTTGTCAGACAAATGTCTACCCGGGAGAAAGCCCGCTTGGTCTTTATGAATTTCTTCTACTAACACCTTTTTTTAATCTTTTAGCCAAAATATCTGCAAAAATTTTGTAATCCACATTAAGTAGCGATATACGGTAGTAGTTCTTGAGCTGTGTCTTTTCAGTCTCTGTTTTCGGTATAAGTGTAATGTAAGCTTCCTTCCACGACTCTGGTGCCTTTCTCCCTTCCAATATTTCATTGCAGACTTCCTCATAGGCGCCGACTCCATGGGGCCTGAGGGGGCCCGAGCCCCCTCAAAAATTCGTTCTGTATATTCTTTCCTTCCACTTCCAAATTTGTAATAGTATTGAGTTTTTGTCTTTTTTTCATTTGCCAGGCCAACAATTTCCCACACTTATTTGCCAATTCAAATGTCTTTTGGCTCATCTGTTTAATCTTCCATTCTATTTCCTGATTCATCAGTTTCGAATATTGTGCTTGGTATAACTTTATCTCTTTCAGAATCTCCTGTGACTTTGGTTTTGCTCTCAGTTTCTTCTCTCCTTCCTTTATTTTCCCCAGGATTTTATCTTTTTTTTCATTCTGAGTTCTCTTCTTAATTGCATTCTGTTGTATTAGGAATCCTCTCATAACCGCTTTGCTTGCGTCCCAAATTACTGCTTTTTCCACTGTAGAATTCATGTTTATCTCGAAGTAGTCTCTTAGAGTTTTTTGGGCCTTCTTGGTCACCTCTTCATTCCTGAACAAAGTATCATTCATCCTCCATCTAAAGGAACCAATTGGCGTCAATTTCATTTCCATCTTCACAGCATTATGGTCAGAACAATTTTGGGGCAAATCTCCACTTTGCTGATCTTCGGAACCAATCCCCTGGTTACCCAGATTTGGTCAATTCTTGTCCATGTCATTTTAGCCTCAGAGAAGAAAGTTCCCTCTCTCCCCAGAGGGTTCTTCATTCTCCAAATGTCAACTAAGTCCATACTTTCAGTCATGTCAAAAATGGTTTTTGGTAGTCTACCATCTTTGGTGACTACCTGTCTCTGTGCCTTGTCCATATTTGTAGACACCACTCCATTCATATCTCCCATCAAGATCATATTATAGTCCATATAATCCATCAGAGTCTCGTGTAGCTTCTTAAAGAACTCCGATTTTCCTTCGTTTGGTGCATAAATACCTACAATCAAGAATTTCTCTCCTTGTGATTGAATTTCAATTGCAACAGATCTTCCTTGGTCATCTTTGAATATGAATTTCGGTGATAGGCTCTCCTTTGCATAAAGGGCCACTCCTCTTTTTTTAACTTTATCTGATGAGATAAATTCTTGGCCCAGTCTTTTATTACTCAATATCTTCCTGTGTAGCCTTATCACATGTGTTTCTTGTAAACAAATCAAGTCCAAATGTTCTTTTTTCAATAAATGAAAGACTCTCCGCCTTTTTTCTGGAGAATTTAATCCATTCACATTCCAGCTCGAAACCTGCAACGCCATCATGTAGTTACACTGATATTCCTCTAACTGCGCCCAATGCTTGCTCTTCTTCTGTTGGTGGTGGTGGTGACACGTTCACTGGGAGATCCAATCCAAAGGATAATGCGGATATATCCAATATTCCCCTGTTTGGTGATCTTCTATCCGATGCTCTTTGCTCTAGTCCTCTATCCAATGATCTTCTATCCGATGCTCTTGGCTCTTTTCCAAGTTCCTTCTGCAGATCTTCTTCGTATTTATACAAAAACTTTACTTTATCTTCTACTGATCTTATTTTTATTTTCCTTCCTTTGAAACTGAAAGATAGACCTTGGGGAAACTCCCACCTAAAGATGATTTTATTCCTTCTCAGCAGGGCAACAATATCTCCGTAGTTAGGCCTAAGATCCAAAAGGTATTTCGGGACGTCTTTAAAAATTTCCACTCTTGACTGTTGTACTTCTAGGTTCTTCTGGTAGTGCCAACCCAAGATCCTATCTCTCTCTTCTTTAGTTCGAAGGGTAATCAAACAGTCTCTTATTCTATTCTTCTCTTTTTTCCCTCCTCTTCCAAGTCTGAAGGCCCTCACAATTCTAAACTCTTCTTGACCCAAGTCCAAGCCCCAAAAGTCAGCAAATTCCTGTGTGAGAAAGTCTGTCAAGCTTTCCTTCTCCAATTCAGGTAGGGCTCTGATCCTCAAATTCGTCTGTTTTTCTTTAAGTTCAATCATAGCAAACGTCAACTTATGTTCATCAAGTTGCCTCTGTAGGGCTGGGACTCTCTCTCTCTCCAGTTGTGTTACTTTACATTCAGCAGCAACGGCTTTCTCCCTGGCTTCCTCCACAGTTTGCCGTATCAAAGTAGATTCCTGTATCAATTTCTGGATGGTTTCTGTATTAGTATTCACCTTTAGTCCCAGATTATTTATACTTTCTGTATTTAAATCGATTTTAATAGTTGCAGCATCCACTTTCACATTTGTCGCATCCACTTTCGCATTTGTCGCATCTGCTTTCTTGTTAAGCTGTTCCAATGAATCATTTATCTTATTTAATGCAACCGCTAAGGCCTCTTCTGTTGACATTCCTCTTGGTTTTGAATGTACTGGTACAGAAGCAGCAGCAGAAGAAGCAGGGGGGCCTGATGTTGAGCCTCTCCTGGGTTGCTGCCAAGTCCTCCCAGACCTTAATGTATTTTCAGCGGTTGGCTGGTCTGTTTTTTCCTTTCCATTTGCCACAACACTTAAAAGATTCAAGGTCAGTCCCAAAGTCTCACAGTTTTTTATCTTGCAGCTGGAAATTCCCCTAGCCCAGCTCGACAAGAACATATTCTTGTACCACAGCAAGAAGCTTAAGTCCTGTAGTTGAAGCTTCCATTTCCAGGCCAAAGAAGTTCTCGCTGCATCCATGGAAGATGTTTCTTAGATCGGAAAGTTGCCATTTGATCATCCCACAAGTTCGAAAGTGCAAGTTGTGAGGAGGCTTGGGTGGGACATTTAAAATTTTAAAAGATTTCTTGAAAATTGTCTGTCCAGAATTTGGATGCCAGAGCATTTCCACCAACACAAGCAGAAAAAATATCCTCCTGCTTGCACAGCAGCACCGACAATCCCGTGGGGCATTTGATGTTATGTGAGAAAGTTGCACAGCAGAGGTGCTTCTCCCCAACTCTCGGGTGAGCATAATGGCCACTCGCTTTGGGCCCTGACACTTCACTCTCCTACAGCCCTGTAATCGTGGAGATCCCTCACTTTGCCTCGCACGGCCGCGGTGACAGGGAGCTGGTGGTTCTACGCAGTGAGAATGGATCCATATGGAAGGAGCACCGCAGCCGCTATGGGGAGAGCTACTTGGACCAGGTCCTCAATGGCATGGATGAAGGTATGAGTGCCTGGCAGGAACAGGGGAAACCAGTTGGGGAAGAGGCTCAAAACTGCCCAAGGAGCAAGGAAGTGACAATAGCTTTGCTGGTTTCCAAGCCTCAGCTTTGAGACTCCTTAAAGGGAGTGAAAGGCGGGATATCAAATCCAAACTCTTCTTCTTCTTCTTCTTCCATTTTGTCACCCTCCTCAGTGAGGACACCCGAGGCAGCCTGCACCCACCACACACCCCTTTCCTATGCCACTGCTAACCACATAGGACCAGGCTACCTAAAAGGCTACCTTTGCCCACAGGTTACCTGCATGTGCGTTGCAGGTTGCTGGGAGGCTCTTCTCTGGGATGAGGGAGGAGGCCTTTGGGGGCCACCCCTAAGAAGTCCAACTCCCTACCTTGGGAAATTGCTTTGTCCCCTTCCGATGGTTCTGACAGACATTTGGCCTAGCAAGTTGCTGGTGCCTGTTTTGTGCTCCCTGATTTTTTGGTGTGACATTTTTCGCTGCTGTTCCTGTCTCTCTTAAGCTGCCATTAATTCCCCTCGCCTCCAGTACAGTTTCATCTGTCTGCTGGTGGTTCTACTCAAAAGGAAAATGTAAATTAAAAAAATTATTCTGATTGCAATGATTTGAAGTCGTAAGGAGTGTGAATGCTAAGTCAAACTGTTGGTCTGTGGGTCAGGGTTCTGAGCCTTTCATGACTGGTCAATCTAGTTCTTCTATTGATTTATTGCTCGTGGCACACTATCAGCAATATGCAGTTCAGGAAATCCTTGCTGTGTGATCTTACTATGCCACTGCCAACTCTTACAGAGCTGGAGAGCCTCGAGGAGCTGGAGAAGAAGAGGATTTGCCGCATCATCACCACGGATTTCCCTCTTTACTTTGTGGTCATGTCTCGCGTGTCCCAGGACTGTGACCTGATTGGCCCAGAGGGTGGCTGTCTGCAGAGCACGTTGGTGCCTCTGGTCCAGGCCACATTCCCAGAAACAGCAGTCACCAAGAAGGTCAAGCTAGCTCTGCAGGTACAAGGACAACCTCCTGTCTCTTGCATCTATCTCTAGAGCAGAGCAGTCCAGGGAGACTTGAAGCAGGAATGGTGTGGACATGGGAGTTTGTGGGTGTAGTTCTGAATTTGGGGAGCAGGCTTGGTGGGCTTCGTAATAAGCAAACACAGCCAAAATAACCAATGCAAATTAAATGTGCACATAAGGTAAAGGTACCCCTGCCCTTACGGGCCAGTCGTATCCGACTCTAGGGTTGTGCACCCATCTCACTTAAGAGGCCGGGGGCCAGCGCTGTCTGCAGACACTTCTGGCTCACGTGGCCAGCGTGACAAGCTGCATCTGGCGAGGCAGTGCAGCACACGGAAACGCTGTTTACCTTCCCACTGGTAAGCGGTCCCTATTTATCTACTTGCACCCAGGGGTGCTTTTGAACTGCTAGGTTGGCAGGCGCTGGGACTGAGCAACGGGAGCACACCCCACCGCGGGGATTCGAACCGCCGACCTGACGATCGGCAAGTCCTAGGCACTGAGGTTTTACCCACAGCGCCACCCGCGTCCCACATAATATAGGCAACATAATGTAGGCGATCAAAAAATATGGAATACAGACAAGCCCCGATTTGTGCAGGGGTTGCATTCCAGGTCAGTGTGCATGTTGATGGAGCACGCATAAGCCTGCCCCACCCTGTTACACCCTCTTCAGGCTCCAAAAATGGCCCATGCGTGCACAGTGGCACGTCCTTAGAATGCACACAAAACGGGGGTTGCCTGTATTTTGGCAGGGAATAATGGAAAGGCATTGAGATCTAGGCAAGGGATCTGACTGAGCGCTGGGTTTCAGGAATAGCAGCCAGGGCTGGATGGCGAAAACTGGAGTTGTGCTTCAGCATCATTCAGCATCCTCAGCAACTTACTTGTTTATTTAGCAAAACAAGTTTCTTGACCTTAAGGTAATGAAAATAGTTTTGTAAAGACACTTAAAATATCAGAAACCGGAGGAGGGGCTGAGTGGGATTTGCCGTGGCTGGAGGCGGAACTTGGTTGCCATATGCAACCAAGTCCTGACTGGGTGGCTGCATGGGGCTCAGCCGCTAACAGAGTAACAAAACCCAGATCCATTCAGTGCAAGCACACACTAAATGCATTGTCCAGTCTGGTCCTCAGAGTGACAAATGCTGGGCTGCTTACTGGATCTCCCACTTTTGCAGATCTCTGGTGGACATTCGGGTTATTCAGGGGCCTGGCTCTGGAGTTGCCTTTGAAAGAGGCCACAGCAGAGCACATGGCTGGCATCCTGGCAGCAAGGAGGGCCCACCTTCCAGGAGCACGGCCCTTTTGGCATGTCTCCCTGTGGGAATGTTGAGGGCAGTAGGAGAGGATATATTGATTAATACAGGGGTCAGCAACCTAAGGCCCATGGGCCACAAGCGGCCGTGGGGGTCGTTTAACCAGCCCATGGACCCCCGCCACCTGCTCGCGGCAGCCTGCCTTCCGGGACACTGGCCAGCTTCCCATTGGTTGCAGGAAGCTCCTGCAGCCAATGGGAAGCTGCGCACGCCTCCTCCGCGCTGGAAGGAGCACCGGAAATAGCATTTGCGCGTGTGCACACACACACACACACACTCTGGACCACTGCGGCGTCTGTGGGACCGTGAATTGTGAGAATCACTTGAGTTAAGCAATCCAGTCTGGCTTGTCCAGACTGGATTTGTTCCTGGTAAATCCCCTTTTGTTCCCTCTTAAAAACAATAATGACACAACAGTCTTCTTTAAGAAACTAATGATAAGGTTTACTCACACAGTCCACAGTGTGATCCTGAAGGCAGGCTTTAGCTTGTAGTTACAGATACAGAGAAATGTGTGGGTTCACCCTCTTTTGAGGAATGAGCCCATGTGCTGCTGGCTGAGAGCCACACACAGCAAAAAAGGTATCAAGAAGAGTCGAGAGGAAGAGCATCAAGAGGAAGAGGAAAATGGCTGTGTAACTTTGTAGGGTCTGCCAGGGTCACGCCCATCTACCTGGTCACACGCAGGGGAGGATGCTCCAGACGAGGCGTGACAGGAAGTCCTCCTGGCTGGAGCAACATTCCCCTGCGTGTCCACTCTAGTCAAACAGGAAATGTTGTACTTGACTGCTTATGTCACATCCCACACTCCCTGCAGGCGCAGCCGGTGCCAGATGAGCTGGTGACAAAACTTCTGGGGAACCAGGCAACATTCAGCCCCATAGTGACAGTGGAGCCACGCCGCAGGAAATTCCACCGCCCCATTGGGCTGCGCATCCCCTGCCCCCTTCATGGAGGGAGAACCCCCGGGACAGTGGGGAGGGCGATACAACCAGCCTGCGGCTCCTCTGCAGCGTCATAGGTGAGTAGAGATAACTGGTGGCGTCTTTTGGGGCTGGAGCACAAGCCTCCCTCCTGCTCTTCATTTTGTTGCTCACTTGGCAGGTTCCAAAGTTGCAGCTTGAGGCGGATGGCAGAGAGATTTCAGGGATTTGGTGGGAGAGGCAATGGAAGGGAGCAAATGTTCCACCGTTGGCAGCAACTGCCTGTGATTTCACCCCTAGGGTGAGGGCAAGAAGATTTGCGCTCACTCTGCTTTCAGAGAGATGCTCCTTGATGGCAGCAGCGGTAGAGTGAGGGGAAATGCTTTAGGAGGACATCATGCGGGAGAGGGAAGGGTGGTTGGGAGGTGAGCCAGGTACACTAAGAATGGAAAAGAGGAAAAGGTAAGCCAGGCAGCAGTTTCAAGGAAGCTCATCTACTCCACTGGCACTCCTGCTCTCCCTGCAAATCTTTTAGTGCTGTCTCTTTCTTGGGTGGGCTGCTCTTTCAGGGGCCCTTCATCAGTTTTGGGTCTGCTGGTTGGCTCTTTTTAGTGGTTCAGGGGCTCAGCTATGCCCTCTGCCTCTGGGAGTCTTGTCCTTTCATCACAGATGTTTTTGGATGATAGCTCTCATCGGCCCTGGCCTTGTATGGCTGGGCTGCCTGAGGCTAATGGAAAGCAGAGCCCAAAAACATCTGGAGGGCACCAGGTTGGCAAAGGCTGAGCTAGGGAATCCCCCACAGGTGGCTGCCCAGGTGGATGTCTTCTGTGCTGGAGATGCAATGGCATTTTCCCAGCAAGGTATTTATTCTTGTTTTGTACTTGGGAAACATCCCCCTATCCATTTTTTTTGTAATTATGTATTTTATCATTTCCATGCATAAAGCAGTTTACTATTAACAATGCAAAGTTAACAGCAAAAATTTGCACACCCCAGAATCGAAGCAAACTTTTTAAAATAACTGAGCCAAAAGATTCCTAATCATAATTCTTCCAACACCAAATCTCCACGCCATCAATTTTGGATCAGCCCAGACAAGATCTTAAGTCTGAAATAAAGTGAAGTCACAATGACAGTGCTAAGATTTGCTGGGTTTAAGAACAAGCTTCTACATAAACTATAAAAGGATCCTGTGTTTGTTTCCTTTATTTAGCAGATTCATACCCTACCTTGCAATCAATTGATTCTCAAGGCGACTTACAAGTAACAGGTAATAATGCAAAGAACCCTGAACTCACACATGCCAGGATGACCCAACAGCCTTCAGTTCTGCGGCTGACGGAGGGGGTCAAAGCAAGATTCCCTTCGGCCATCCCAGAGCAGCTGGCAGTTGGAACAGAGTGTTCTTTCTGGTGGAGTAATGGTTAGAGTGTTGGACTAGCACCTGGGAGCCCAGGTTTCAAATGGCCTCTCAGCTGTGAAGTTTGCTGGGTGCCATGGGACCAGTCACACCCTCAGCCTCAGCTACTTCACGGCCGTGGCATCGCAGGGGGCGGTGCCATGTTGGGGGGGTGACAAGGCACCCCGTGGGCGCAGCTGCGAACAGAGGGTCCTGCCACTGTCCGTATGGTGTTTGAGTGGCGCCGGCAGCAAACCGTTACGTACAATGCATGCGCGGTGTCGCGCACATGCGCTGTACATAGTGACGCCGCACATGCACTGTACATAGCAGTTTTTCGCCAGCGCCGCTTGAGCACTTTATGAATGGTGGTGGGATCCCTCCGGTGCCACTACAGCCGCAAGCGGAGGATCCCGCCACCATATGTACGGCGCTTGGGCGGTGCCAGCAGCAAACCGCTACGTACAATTCATGGGCGGTGTCTCACACATGCATTGTACGCAGTGACACCGCACATGTGCCCTACGCAGCAACGCAATGCATGCATTGTATGTCGCAGCACAACGCATGCCCCACCCCGGGTGTCGGTTAGCCTTCATTTGCCCCTGCTTCACAGGGTTGTTGTGAGGTCAGGTGGGGAGGGGTGGGCTGGGGAGGACGACACCATTACCTCCTCTGTGGAAACGAACAATTACAGCAAAGCTTCCTGCAGCTGCTGCTTCTCTGACTGGTGCTTGAGATCAGGCCAGTCTTTCCCTGGTGGTTGTCTTTATTTTCATCCTCAGTAACTCAGTGACAGAGCATCTGCTTTGCATGC